AAGCAAAAGATTCACAAATTATTCTCTTTCTTGGCCGAGTACTCTACAATCATCCATAAAAGAAAAGAAAAGAAAAGAAAGCGAAAGACACCCATAATAGATTAAACTATCAGAAGACGAAATTGTCAGTTCTAGGCACAAGAACATGGAGGCACGGAGAGTGAGAGAGGGGGGGGGACATACATCGAGTTCAAGCAAGATCCATTCTTTGGTATTGGTACCAGTGGACCAGTGATTCCGAAGGTCGGAGTCGAGGACATGCATGGCCTTCTGAGACGGCGATTCTCGGGAAATACCCTTTACTTTGTAGGACAGAGGCTTCACCCTCGGCTCTAACTCTATCTCCATCCTCCAATTTTCACTCGATAATCTCACTGTACTCTCTCTCTCTCTCTCTCCTTCTTTCTTTTTTTCCGGTGAGACGAACCCTTTCTAGTACAGGACCAGATTTCAGTGTTTCTTTAAATAGTTCCGACGGAAATATAGAGATTTGGAGTCCCGAGACGGGTGGGAGTAAGATTTGGGTAAATTATACTTTGACCTCTTATTTATGACTCATTTTTNCTTTCTTTTTTTCCTGTAAGACGAACCCTTTCTAGTACAGGACCAGATTTCAGTGTTTCTTTAAATAGTTCCGACGGAAATATAGAGATTTGGAGTCCCGAGACGGGTGGGAGTAAGATTTGGGTAAATTATACTTTGACCTCTTATTTATGACTCATTTTTTATATTGTTCCTTCAACTATCATATCATTTACATTATAACCTCAACTATGATTAATTTTACATTGCCTCAATTCTTAGTGTTTGTTATATATTTAATAGAAATTTATTTTATTTTTTCCCTTAACTATGTAGTTCTCTTTACGTTGTCCCGACGCATTGATAATTTTTATCCAAAAAGATGGTGCATGTCTACGATTGGGTCAGTATAAAATAATTCAACTATTTGATGAAAATTAATATAATTTATGAATTAATAATTTTAGAGACAAAGTGGTCAACTAGAGGGAAGGAATATTAAGGGGTTGTTTGGTAATTGTATCTGTCTCTTTTTTTGTATTTTTGTTTTTAATTTTTGTTAAAATGAAAATAAAAATATATTTGATAATTATTTTTGTTTTTTGTTTCATATTAGTTGTCTTGGAAATAAGCCCAAAAAATGGTGAGATCTCATTAATTGAGCTTATTTCCCGTGTTTTGTATGTTTTGAAAATATTTTTCCAAATTCAGCCAAAACACCCACAATATATTCTCTAAAAATTCATCTCAATTCTCACTTTTTTTTTTTTAAATTAGAGATTAAAAAAATCTAACCAAACATGTTTTCGTTGTTGTTTAGAAATGTGAGAACAAAAAACTATTTTCTAAACACAAANATCTCTTTTTTTGTGTTTTTGTTTTTAATTTTTGTTAAAATGAAAATAAAAATATATTTGGTAATTATTTTTGTTTTTTGTTTCATATTAGTTGTCTTGGAAATAAGCCCAAAAAATGGTGAGATCTCATTAATTGAGCTTATTTCCCGTGTTTTGTATGTTTTGAAAATATTTTTCCAAATTCAGCCAAAACACCCACAATATGTTCTCTAAAAATTCATCTCAATTCTCACTTTTTTTTTTAAATTAGAGATTAAAAAAATCTAACCAAACATGTTTTCGTTGTTGTTTAGAAATGTGAGAACAAAAAACTATTTTCTAAACACAAACCAAACATACCCTTGTATTCCAAGAAATATGAGAAACACAAAACACGCGCTTTTGAATTAAATGAGATCTCAACTTCAAGTCTTGTTAATCATAAAAGACCAGTTCATTTCTCAAAGTATAAAATAGGGGGTCTTTTGTCATTTTTTCATCATAGAGTTTTGTCAACGCTTCTCTTCTCTTTTCTCAACAACGACAACGAATAATAATACACACAGATCGACTTTCTCTCTTCTCCTTCACTCTCAGCAACTCTCTAGCAAATTATTCAGAAGAGAAGCTAATTTAGAAGTAATGGTGAACATAATCTTAAAAGGCCATTGGAGAGCTTGGAAGTATTGGGAGCACAGATTATAGAAATTCTGGGCATGTTGCAATATCAACTTGGGCATGTGTATAGAGAAGCAAATTCCATGGCTAATTTTTTCGCAAATTTGATTGTGTAAGATGGGTAATCTGTTGATTTTTACTAGCTGCTGGACATTCCCTTTCTGGCGAAGTTGATCCTACTTCAGGATCAACAAGGACTTTTCTGGCGAAGTTGTCATATTTTACCTTATTTTAAATTTAGATTTGTTTTCATTTAAATTTGATTTATCTTTCTTTAAATTTAAGTTTGTTTATTAAAACCCTTTATATCAAATCAAGTTTTTTACTCAAATGTTAATTTAAATTTGAATAAAATTTGTGTCATGATTAGAAATACCCTTAAAACGTTGATCATTGTTGATATTGATTAGGAAGTGCATCGCGGTGGTCAATATTAATCTTTGAAGAAGTTGGGTTCACTTTGTCTATTTGGTAAGATTTTATTAACTGATTACACCACGTAACAATTCTGACATAGTATAACTATTACAATTAATATTTTTATCCTTCATGAGATTGGGCAAATTAAAAATTAAAGTGATCTAGCATGAAAAAGACCCCCCCCCAAAAAAAAAAAGGAAACAAATGTCCTCTTGATAAAATATTTCTTATTATCAAGAAATACGGTCGACTGATAAATGTTTTGTGAGCAATAGGGATGACAATGAATCAGGGAAAAATGAATATTCGTCTAAACTCGTCCTATTTGGACCGATGATGGACTGTACGTATTGAACGATAAATGTATACGGGAATGGACTTATCCTTACTCTCGCCCCGTCCTCCTCCTCGTTACCCGTTAATATATATAAATACTCACAGTTAAATTCATAGTTCATTAAAAAAACTAACAGTACACTGATTCGTGTGTAGTGTTTTTTTTTCCATAGTTCTTCCACTTTCCTATTTTGTTGTTAATTTTCTGGATTTTGGGTTCATAGTTTAAGTTCATGGTTATTTTGAATACTAGCCCCATCTCATTTACAAGACTAATTGAGATCCACTCTGTCCACCTTTCATGTACAGAACTTAATAGAAAGAATCACAAACAATAACAATTGCGTGCATATACAATACATGCACTTTTTCACTGGGATTATGTTATGCAAAATAAACCTCATAATTTAAAAGAAAGAAAGAAAAAACTACTTGGATGTACCAGTTTAACACTTATACACTTCTTCCTACTTTTTTGCTTTCAATTCAAGGAGAAACCTGAATGAAAAAGTCACTTGAACATGGGAACTGTTACTTCTCCACCAACATAATCAAAAAAGTTAGAATAAAAGAAAGAAGGTTGACAAAGTGGTTGAGCAGCCAGACATACAGATCATCTATGCTCAAGGAGTTCCATGAGAATTAACCCTTTATGCTGACCACTTCTACAAATAATAGTTTTAGTAATATGTCTTGGGCTTGGGCGGGTACGGGAGAAGCGGGGACGGGGATGGGGAATAGAAATTTATCCGCAGACGGAAATATGAATGGAAATTATAACCGTTAACGGAGGTGGACTGGAAATTGATGAAGATTTTTTAAGTAGGGTATGGGGATGAAAACTATAGACCCCGCCACCGCTTCGGTTCATTAACATCCCTAGTGAGCAGGGGTGGTCCAAGACTATTTGAGGCCTAAAACGATTATTACAAATGAGGTTTTTTATTTAAAAATTATTATTTTTAGATTAAAAGTTGTCTAATATTTGTAGTGGTAATTGATCTTTGGTAAAATTTTATCAATTTTAATTTTAAATAATCACAATCTATTATTTTAGTTTTTATAATTTAATAAAAAAATATTTTGGTCTATTTTTTGTAATAGAAATAAAAATAATTTGTAACACAAGAAAAAAGAAGATAATTTGTATTTAGTATAGAGTGAATGAGAGGGAGGGCCTTAATTTACTAGAGCGAGAGTGGTTACAAATGAATAGTGTATTTTGGTTGACTAGTTTAAATTATTTTTTTAACCCTGAGCTTTTTCTTTTTCATTTCTAAAAAAATTATTTTAGTATATTTTTAATATTAAGGGTTGGGTTCATGAGCCCAAACTACTCAAATTTATTGTTGATTGAGTTTAAATTTTTATAAGAGTTTTTTTAAAGTCTAAGATCTTATGAATTTAAAAATTTTGATTTGAACAAAAAGCATCACATTTTTGAATTTAATTGTCATATGAAATTACTGTATGTTATTATATTTTGAAAACATAATAAGAATAAGAAAATGTGATATTTTTTGTTCAAAAAAAACCCATAAAACACTTAAAAAATTTGAGCTTTTGATTTTTCATGTTGGGTTTTATGTAAACAACTGCATGAATAAAACTTTGGAAAACTTATTGGTTGATGGTCGATTGCAAACAAGTGAAGTCATAAAAACACAAGTACCACCTTTTATGTTTAATTCAGAACTTTTCACCGACGCCGGAAAAAATATCAAACTTCAAATCCTTTTTGTCACAGTTTGGGTGTACGCAAAATTTTACCCATCAAAACCCTCAAAACATCAGTGCACCTTCACCTTCAGAACAATGGAATGAAAACAGAGCCAATGTCTATCTTTTCAAAATTCAAAAAATCAATAGATTGTGGAAAAATCCCTGTTAAGAATNTCCTCTTATTGTATATTATTTATAGGAAAAACTGATTTGCATATAAAAATTGATGATATAGAGCCATCTTTAGATTACATCCACCCGTTTAATTATTCTTGAAAATCCATGCATTAAGAGAAAAATAAAGGTAATCTTTGAGTTTTCTCTATAAATTCTCACTCTCCTCTCCATACAAGCCAGAGCCATGTTAAAAAAAACTATGGCCACTATTGCAGCATTTCATTTACTTTTCTCCATAGGACTTGCAGGATTGCAGCTATCCATCATTTACTTTTCTCCATAGCACTTGCAGGATTGCAGCTATCCATCATGTCTATCCTTAGTTTCTCTGTAACAGAAGCTGCCCACAACGGTGGCTTCTTCACTGTGGATCTAATCCACCGCGATTCTCCTAAATCTCCCTTCCACAATCCTTCTCTAACTCCTTCACAGCGGTTGAACAATGCTTTGCAACGTTCTTTTAACCGTGTCCAGCATTTCAGGTTATGGTCTCCACAATTGGCCTCAGCTGATATAATTCCCACTCAAGGTGCATTTCTCATGAAGATATCTCTGGGGACGCCACCAGTCGAAATCATGGCCTTTGCAGATACTGGTAGTGACCTTATATGGACACAGTGCAAGCCCTGTGATGAATGTTTTGATCAAAAGTCGCCTCTATTCAATCCAATCAGTTCTTCATACAAAGCTATACCCTGTGGTTCAAGACAATGCCAATCTCTTCAAGATACTTATTGTGTTGAAAATAGTTGCCAGTATGATCAGGGATATGGAGATTCTTCTTCCACTAGTGGCGACCTTGCCACTGAAACAGTCAGGTTGGGTTCCACTTCCGCCACAGGCCTACAAGTCTCCCTCCCCAACACCATTTTTGGCTGCGGACATGAAAATGAGTTAGCGTTCAGTATTGCTGGATCCGGCATAGTTGGCCTTGGGGGCGGGTCAGTTTCGCTTATTTCCCAAATGGGTGCTTCCATTGGTGGTAAATTTTCCTATTGCTTGGTTTCAATGTCTGCTCAAAACACAAAGTCCAGCAAAATGATTTTTGGAGGCAGTGGTACTATTGTTTCGGGTTCGGGGTGGTTTCCACCCCAATAGTCCCAAAGTCCCCAGACACATTCTACTACCTAACATTGGAAGGAATCAGTGTTGGAGACAAACGATTGAACTTGTACAATTCCACAACCCCATCAAATGCTTCTAAAGATGGTAACATCATCATTGACTCAGGAACTACGATGACTGTCCTTCCATCGGATCTCTACCACCGGCTAGAATTGGCAGTGAAAAATGTAATCAAGTTGCCTACTATCAAGGATCCAGAAGAACTGCTACATTTGTGTTACTCTAATTTGGCTGATAAAGATATACCGATTATCGCAGTTCATTTCAGGGGTGCAGATTTGAAGTTGAATCCATTGAACACTTTTGCTAGAACTAGCTCATCTTCCAGATGCTTGGCTTTTGCCCCAGATGATGATCTCTCCATTTATGGTAACATGGCACAGATGAATTTCCTTGTGGGCTATGACTTACAGAAAAAGACTGTTTCCTTTAAGCCTACTGATTGCAGGAGACAGTGATGTATGTATCAATTAAGACACATTTTCCAGAGTATTTTATATCAATCTATAAAAAGTTTTCAGTCAATATCACATGTTTGCACGTATTTCCTCAAAACATATAGTTGTTTTTATGAAATAATGATTCAATCCCATGCTCTATACAAACACAAACTTGACATGGTGTTCTGCAAATACGTTTTCCTGTTTTTTTTATCAGAACAAGACCATGCAACAATGTATTAAGTAGGAAAGTTCAAATTAAAATTAGACAAAAGAGAAGCCTTAAGCTCGAAAAAATTATTTTCTTAAGCCTTAAGCCTTAAAAGGAGCCTAACCAGTCCAGCGGGAGTGAGTTGGTTAACTTAGCGACTGCCACCCAATTAGCAGCCCTATTACAGGCCCTAGCAAAATTTCTAATATCATCCATAATAACTTTAATTTCCCACAGGGTGCATCCTCCATAGACCTAAGTTTGATAACAGGAAGACAATCATTCATGATTGTGATATTAGAGAGCAAAAGGGTATCAGCCGGTAGACAAGTTTTCCTGTTGAAAAATGATGTTTTCACAAAGGAAAAAAAATTAATTGAAAATTAAGTTAGAAAGTATGATATTCATGTAAAAAAAGTAGCAAAATCTGGGCAATTGATTCTATTTTCTTCATTGGGGCATTGTTTGTACTGTATTTCATTTTACTGCACCACCTTTTGATTGCCAGGCCAAGGGCGCAACTCAAATTATAAGTCTAGCGTAAATAAGGAGTCCAACTAAATGACAGGATCCGGTCCAAAAGAGGTTTACACCTGGTCAGCCTCATCAGGGTTCAAAGGACTATATCACCAAGGAGTAAGCAGGGTCATCCTAGGAACCTCGTCGCCACCTTGGAAAAAGTTAATTGCGTCGTCCTTTGACCTGATCTTCAGGGGAGTTCTGTAACTGCCTCAGTCGTTGAAAAAATGACGCCAACTCCTCCAAATTAGCTACTTAGTTGCTGAAAAGACGTCTCAGTCTATTAAAAGGTACTATAAATTGTAAGTTCCGCCAATATTTAGAGGGCATCGAGCATATCTGCTATCACTCTCGTCTCTCTCTCATTGCTTGTAATTGCTCTCCCTTGGTCTCTTTACACTCTTCGAAGTAACAAAACACCAGGTTATCCTTGATTTTTATAGTGGAGTAGGTCACGTCGATCGAATCACTCTACATTTTTATCTTACTCATGTTATTCTCTCTCTACTTAATTACTGCATTAATCATTAATTACTCAACAGGTGGTACATAAAAACCAATATTTGCATCATCACCTTTCATCGGCAATCTAACAGTAACTTTCATCTTGTGCACTGAGTTTCCCTTTTAGCACATGGACATTTTAGATTGGGATGAAAGTATAAACATTAAGCATTGCAAATNAAACAAGGGGAAAAAAAACATTGCAGTTGTGTGCTACGATGCATATGGTTCTGTACTTTGAAAATTCCTTTTTTTTTTTCGTTTCAATACTATGGTAAACATTGGGGTGTGACAGTGTGATGCTATAAGAATAGGAAACTCCTAATTCAATATGAAAAATAAAATATATAAAAATATTGGAACACAAGATAACTAAAGAGGTAAGAAATTTACTTAAAAAAGGAAGAAAAAAAAAAGAAACCAAAAATGGGCATTCGACTGCTGGAATGGCTTTCGGTCCGTAAAAATCTTCTTATCTGATTTGCATTTCCCACTAGCATTTAGAGTGCAAAATTCTTTATGTGCTCTCGAACTTAGTTTTGGTCACTCAGAATGAGTATTTCTATTTGTAATTAAACTAAGACTGTCAATCGTGTCGGATAAAATGATTTGTACTGGATCTTAGCGAGTTTATGTTAAAAAATATTTCACAAATACTCGATTCATTTATTAATCCGTGTCTAACGACTCGTGCCATATCGGGTTTATATCATTTATAAATCGTGTATAACTAATATATAAATAAATCGTATCGTATATTTTTTTTAATTGATTTTACTCATAATCCGATTCGTTTATTAATTAAGTCATGTCGGAACTACTAATTTACGAAATTGGTGGTTTTCAAAAGATTCAAACTCTTTAATTCCGTGTCATGATAACAAGTTGTGTTATATTTTAACACCGAAACCTCCAAAGACTGACCTACCATGCATGCGGTAGAGAAATCTAGTGTTTCATTTTTTGAATATGCCAGCCAAAGAAAAATCTACAATTTTTGTCATTAATTCGTGATCTGAATTCGGATTTGTCATTCCAGGATGCAATCAATGTGGATTTCCTCTTATTGTATATTATTTATAGGAAAAACTGATTTGCATATAAAAATTGATGATATAGAGCCATCTTTAGATTACATCCACCCGTTTAATTATTCTTGAAAATCCATGCATTAAGAGAAAAATAAAGGTAATCTTTGAGTTTTCTCTATAAATTCTCACTCTCCTCTCCATACAAGCCAGAGCCATGTTAAAAAAAACTATGGCCACTATTGCAGCATTTCATTTACTTTTCTCCATAGGACTTGCAGGATTGCAGCTATCCATCATTTACTTTTCTCCATAGCACTTGCAGGATTGCAGCTATCCATCATGTCTATCCTTAGTTTCTCTGTAACAGAAGCTGCCCACAACGGTGGCTTCTTCACTGTGGATCTAATCCACCGCGATTCTCCTAAATCTCCCTTCCACAATCCTTCTCTAACTCCTTCACAGCGGTTGAACAATGCTTTGCAACGTTCTTTTAACCGTGTCCAGCATTTCAGGTTATGGTCTCCACAATTGGCCTCAGCTGATATAATTCCCACTCAAGGTGCATTTCTCATGAAGATATCCCTGGGGACGCCACCAGTCGAAATCATGGCCTTTGCAGATACTGGTAGTGACCTTATATGGACACAGTGCAAGCCCTGTGATGAATGTTTTGATCAAAAGTCGCCTCTATTCAATCCAATCAGTTCTTCATACAAAGCTATACCCTGTGGTTCAAGACAATGCCAATCTCTTCAAGATACTTATTGTGTTGAAAATAGTTGCCAGTATGATCAGGGATATGGAGATTCTTCTTCCACTAGTGGCGACCTTGCCACTGAAACAGTCAGGTTGGGTTCCACTTCCGCCACAGGCCTACAAGTCTCCCTCCCCAACACCATTTTTGGCTGCGGACATGAAAATGAGTTAGCGTTCAGTATTGCTGGATCCGGCATAGTTGGCCTTGGGGGCGGGTCAGTTTCGCTTATTTCCCAAATGGGTGCTTCCATTGGTGGTAAATTTTCCTATTGCTTGGTTTCAATGTCTGCTCAAAACACAAAGTCCAGCAAAATGATTTTTGGAGGCAGTGGTACTATTGTTTCGGGTTCGGGGTGGTTTCCACCCCAATAGTCCCAAAGTCCCCAGACACATTCTACTACCTAACATTGGAAGGAATCAGTGTTGGAGACAAACGATTGAACTTGTACAATTCCACAACCCCATCAAATGCTTCTAAAGATGGTAACATCATCATTGACTCAGGAACTACGATGACTGTCCTTCCATCGGATCTCTACCACCGGCTAGAATTGGCAGTGAAAAATGTAATCAAGTTGCCTACTATCAAGGATCCAGAAGAACTGCTACATTTGTGTTACTCTAATTTGGCTGATAAAGATATACCGATTATCGCAGTTCATTTCAGGGGTGCAGATTTGAAGTTGAATCCATTGAACACTTTTGCTAGAACTAGCTCATCTTCCAGATGCTTGGCTTTTGCCCCAGATGATGATCTCTCCATTTATGGTAACATGGCACACATGAATTTCCTTGTGGGCTATGACTTACAGAAAAAGACTGTTTCCTTTAAGCCTACTGATTGCAGGAGACAGTGATGTATGTATCAATTTAGACACATTTTCCAGAGTATTTTATATCAATCTATAAAAAGTTTTCAGTCAATATCACATGTTTGCACGTATTTCCTCAAAACATATAGTTGTTTTTATGAAATAATGATTCAATCCCATGCTCTATACAAACACAAACTTGACATGGTGTTCTGCAAATACGTTTTCCTGTTTTTTTTATCAGAACAAGACCATGCAACAATGTATTAAGTAGGAAAGTTCAAATTAAAATTAGACAAAAGAGAAGCCTTAAGCTTGAAAAAATTATTTTCTTAAGCCTTAAGCCTTAAAAGGAGCCTAACCAGTCCAGCGGGAGTGAGTTGGTTAACTTAGCGACTGCCACCCAATTAGCAGCCCTATTACAGGCCCTAGCAAAATTTCTAATATCATCCATAATAACTTTAATTTCCCACAGGGTGCATCCTCCATAGACCTAAGTTTGATAACAGAAAGATAATCATTCATGATTGTGATATTAGAGAGCAAAAGGGTATCAGCCGGTAGACAAGTTTTCCTGTTGAAAAATGATGTTTTCACAAAGGAAAAAAAATTAATTGAAAATTAAGTTAGAAAGTATGATATTCATGTAAAAAAAGTAGCAAAATCTGGGCAATTGATTCTATTTTCTTCATTGGGGCATTGTTTGTACTGTATTTCATTTTACTGCGCCACCTTTTGATTGCCAGGCCAAGGGCGCAACTCAAATTATAAGTCTAGCGTAAATAAAGAGTCCAACTAAATGACAGGATCCGGTCCAAAAGAGATTTACACCTGGTCAGCCTCATCAGGGTTCAAAGGACTATATCACCAAGGAGTAAGCAAGGCCATCCTAGGAACCTCGTCGCCACCTTGGAAAAAGTTAATTGCGTCGTCCTTTGACCTGATCTTCAGGGGAGTTCTGTAACTGTCTCAGTCGTTGAAAAAATGACGCCAACTCCTCCAAATTAGCTACTTAGTTGCTGAAAAGGCGTCTCAGTCTATTAAAAGGTACTATAAATTGTAAGTTCCGCCAATATTTAGAGGGCATCGAACATATCTGCTATCACTCTCGTCTCTCTCTCATTGCTTGTAATTGCTCTCCCTTGGTCTCTTTACACTCCTCAAAGTAACAAAATACCAGGTTATCCTTGACTTTTATAGTGGAGTAGGTCACGTCGATCGAATCACTCTACATTTTTATCTTACTCATGTTATTCTTTCTCTACTTAATTACTACATTAATCATTAATTACTCGACAGGTGGTACATAAAAATCAATATTTGCATCATCACCTTTCATCAGCAATCTAACAGTAACTTTCATCTTGTGCACTGAGTTTCCCTTTTAGCACATGGACATTTTAGATTGGGATGAAAGTATAAACATTAAGCATTGCAAATGAATCCTAAAGAGCATTTAATCATGGATNCATCATCAATCAAGAATGGTCGGCTTGGTCCCGGATTCTTTTATGGTGTCAAGTGTGTGACCCGTGCTAGTAGCGGTATGGTGGCCGTGGAATGTAAGATAGTTCATGGCTTGTTGGAGAAGATTGGAATCAGGACAGATGTAGTTGTGAGCAATGGGCTTCTTTCAATTATTTGAAAATTTGAGAACTTGATGAGATGCTAGTTAGAGACATGGTTACATGGAACATGGTGATTTATGTTGTATGGAATGTCAATCAGTTTCTTCTTGGTAATGGAACTTGAATTCAGACATGATCAGACAACAGTAATAACTGTTCTCATTGCTTGCGGCCATTGGGGGACTTGAAATTGGGAAGTTACGATTTATACAGTGGCAAAGTGTGGTGTGTTAATAGAGCTTCAAGGAAAGCTTTTGACAGCATGAAAAAACAAGGAGTTGGTTTCATGGAACTTGCTAAACAATGGTAATGTTGAAAATGGATGTTAGGAGGAAGCAATGAGGGTTTTAAACATGGTGGAGATGTACTTGCAACCCAATCATGTCATGCTNTATCATCAATCAAGAATGGTCGGCTTGGTCCCGGATTCTTTTATGGTGTCAAGTGTGTGACCCGTGCAAGTGGCGGTATGGTGGCCGTGGAATGTAAGATAGTTCATGGCTTGTTGGAGAAGATTGGAATCAGGACAGATGTAGTTGTGAGCAATGGGCTTCTTTCAATTATTTGAAAATTTGAGAACTTGATGAGATGCTAGTTAGAGACATGGTTACATGGAACATGGTGATTTATGTTGTATGTAATGTCAATCAGTTTCTTCTTGGTAATGGAACTTGAATTCAGACATGATCAGACAACAGTAATAACTGTTCTCATTGCTTGCGGCCATTGGGGGACTTGAAATTGGGAAGTTACGATTTATACAGTGGCAAAGTGTGGTGTGTTAATAGAGCTTCAAGGAAAGCTTTTGACAGCATGAAAAAACAAGGAGTTGGTTTCATGGAACTTGCTAAACAATGGTAATGTTGAAAATGGATGTTAGGAGGAAGCAATGAGGGTTTTAAACATGGTGGAGATGTACTTGCAACCCAATCATGTCATGCTTCGATATTTTTCTACCCAATTAATAAACACAATCACGCAAAGGAACTCCACAGTGATATAATTGTAAAGGGATTTGGTTCAGCTTAAGTAGGGCTTACACAAAATGTGGCGATATAAAGGATTCAGTCAAGTAATTTGAGAACATACAAACTCATGATCTAGTAATATGGAATACCATTATTGCTGCATGTGGTTATCAGAGGACTGTAGTCTATGATTCAAAATGATTACCAAAATGCGAATTGAGGGGATGATGCCATATCACCACCATGTTGGGCGCATTGACTTGGTGTTCCTTATTTGCTGCCAAACAACAAGGGAAAGAGATGCATGGATTCATTTTCAGGTTTGGGTTTGACTCGGACATTGCAGTCGGGAATGCTGTGATTGAAATGTACTCTCAAAGTGGTTGTTTGATGAAGTCGCCCTTAGTTTTTGGCTCATGAAAATGAAAGACATAGTGACTTGGACTGCATTGATCTCCGCATTTGGAGTGTATGGTGAAAGCATGAAACCACAGTTTTGAGGAGATGAAGGGAACACATGTTGTTCCGGGTCATATTTTGTTTGTTTCCANTGCATTTGGAGTGTATGGTGAAAGCATGAAACCTCTGTTTTGAGGAGATGAAGGGAACACATGTTGTTCCGGGTCATATTTTGTTTGTTTCCATCCCCTATGCATGTCGTCATTCGGGTTTGGTGAAAGAACGTCGCGCTTGCTTTGACAAGATGATGCAAGATTACAACATCAAGACTAGGATTGAACATTATGCTTGTGTGGTTGACCTTCTATCAAGATTTGGGCTCTCAGATGAAGCTGAGGAATTTATTCTTTCCTTGCCATGGATGCAAGTATTTGGGGAGCTCTTCTAAGTTCTTGTCAAGCAAGTGGAGACATCAAGATTGCGTGGCAGAACGAATAATTGAGTCGAATTCAGGTGGTACTGGGAATTTTGTTTTCATATCAGATGTACATGCAGCCTTAGGGGAGTGGGATCAAGTCAGAATCAAGCGAAAGTCCTTGAAAGCTAGAGGACTTAGAAAGAACCTTGGATATAGNGTTGAGTCGAATTCAGGTGGTACTGGGAATTTTGTTTTCATATCAGATGTACATGCAGCCTTAGGGGAGTGGGATCAAGGCAGAATCAAGCGAAAGTCCTTGAAAGCTAGAGGACTTAGAAAGAACCTTGGATATAGCTGAATGGAGATTGGAAGTGGGGTATACGTTTTTGTTACTGGAGATAGGTTCTTTGAACATATGAAGAGGTGAATAATTTACAGGAGACCCTTGCTGGTTTAATGGCTAACAAAAATTATGTTGCTGACTTGAAATGAGAACAGATACATGCTTTGTAGGCACAGCGAAAAGTTTGCAATTGCTTTTGGATTGCTGAATATTGAAATGAGATAACCCTTTGCAGGTAATGAAGGATTTCAGGTGTGGGGATTGCCACAATATTTCTAACTGATGATGGATGTAACACCCTTACGACTGCGCCAGGCCCGTCCTATATCAAGGTTCTACAATGGCTTCGTGGGGATTGCCACAATATGTCTAACTGATGATGGATGAAACACCCTTACGACTGCACTAGGCCCGTCCTATATCAAGGTTCTACAATGGCTTCTTCTTAATATTGTAATTTTCTTATATCACATGTGTGTGTGTTTTGGGGCGTGGATGAGAATGGTTTGGCCATCGACGCGGGATTAGGATACCGCTATTTGACGAGTACTAGGTCCTTTCACAGAAAACTTTTGATTTGAACTTTACAATTCTTTTGGGTCTTTAAGATTTGTCCTTAAGTTGTGATCTGAATTTAAATTTGTCATTCTCACGAGCAATTAATGTGAATTTCTTCTTACTATTTTGAGAAAGATGATAATTACATTATTACTCTATTTTGACTCTTGAGGAATTTTCATTAATTTCATTATTTAGAGAATCCATGCAGTGAAGGGAAAAAAGCCAAATTTGGCAAGCACACACATATCCAGCAAATACTCTTCCCCTTTATCATCAGTAAAAAATCTAATGCTGCAATTATTGCAAAGTTATCTTTTCTCACTATAAATGCTCACTCTACTGAGTCTATTCTCCATACAAGCCAACCTGGTCAAAGAACTATGGCAAACATTGTAGCATTTCATTCATTTTTCTCTGTAGCACATGTAATATTGCAAATATCTATCATATCTGTCTCTATATTCTGCGTCACAGAAGCCAGCAATGGAGCCTTCAGTGTGGATTTAATCCACCGAGANCGTAGCACTTGCAATATTGCAAATATCTATCTTATCTGTCTCTAAATTCTGCGTCACAGAAGCCAGCAATGGAGCCTTCAGTGTGGATTTAATCCACCGAGATTCGCCAGAATCTCCCTTTCACAATCCTTCTTTATCTCCTTCACACCGCTTGAACAATGCTTTGCGGCGTTCATTTAACCGTGTTCATCATTTCAGGTCATCTTATCCACAATCAGTTTCAACTGATGTAATCCCTGTTGGTGGAGAATTTCTCATGAAGATATCCTTGGGAACTCCACCGATTGAAATCCCTGCCATTGCTGATACTGGTAGTGACCTTATATGGACACAATGCAAGCCCTGTACTCATTGTTACCATCAAAGGCCTCCTATGTTCAGTCCCAAAAAGTCTTCTTCATACAAAGCTGTACCTTGTGGTTCAAGACCATGCCGATCTCTTAAAAGAACTTCTTGCCTCCCAAATGGAAATACTTGCCAGTATTCGATGAGTTATGGAGATACGTCTTTCAGTTTTGGCGAGCTTGCCACAGAAACAGTTAGGTTGGGTTCCACTACTGGTCAACCAGTCTCCCTCCCCAACACAATCTTTGGCTGTGGACAACATAATAATGGTACATTCAGTGATGCTGGATCTGGAATAGTTGGCCTTGGAGGTGGGTCAATTTCTCTTATTTCGCAGATGGGTTCTTCCATTGGTGGTAAATTTTCCTATTGCTTGGTGCCAATGCTTGCCCAAAACACAAAAGCCAGCAAAATGAATTTTGGAGGCAGTGGTGTGGTTTCAGGTTCTGGGGTGGTTTCCACTCCAATAGTCCCAAAATTCCCAGACACTTTCTATTACTTAACACTGGAAGGGATCAGTGTAGAGAACAAAAGATTGAACTTCTATAATTCCTCAACCTCATCAAATGCTTCTAAATTAGCTCAGGATGGTAACATCATCATCGACTCGGGAACCACACTGACTATCCTTCCATCAGACCTATACCTTCAACTAGTATCAGCAGTGAAAAATTCAATCAAGTTTCCAACAATCAGTGACCCAGAGAATATCCTAAACCTGTGCTACTCTGATTTAGCTGCTAAAGATATACCCATTATCACTGCACATTTCAGGGGTGCAGACTTGAAGTTGTATCCATTGAACACCTTTGTTAGAACTAGCTCATCTTCCATATGCTTGGCTTTTATCTCGGCTGAAGACTTCTTCATTTTCGGTAACCTGGCACAGATGAATTTCCTTGTGGGCTATGACTTACAGAAGAAGACTGTTTCCTTTAAGCCTACTGATTGCACCAAACACTGATATCTGAGGTGTATGATTAGAATGTCAAACACAATTTTTTCACCATAATTTGCTATTTACTTGGCATAGAATTTGTTATGATGTATACAGATCTTCTCTTCCTTTTAATTAGTGAATGGTTTTGGTGATAGTATTGGTGTGAGTATGAACTTGCCAAGTACTTCAGACATTTATATGATCAAATGACACTGGATTTCCTTGAAGAAAAGGAAGGAATTTTCAAAATAAATTGATTGAATTGCAGTAATGTTGATTTTAACTAAGGGAATAAATAATGGCCTTGGTACAATTGATAAATTTTATGGATAAAAGCTTGAATGTGAGGAATATTACTAGGAAATTCCAGTGAACTAAAATTTGGCTTGAGTGTGGCCAATTATAATGAAATTTGGCCAAAAGTAAACCTTAGAAATGAACTATTGTTCCATGGAATAATTTTCATTCTAAATTTGTGTTATAGTCCAAACTTCATCTGTATTTCGAATTATTGGTCGAATCATGTTATCAAATTGTTTCATAAATTAGTACCAAATTTATGTATGGAAAATTATATTTTGACCCCCTCAATTATGATCATTTTCATTTTATCCCCTTAACTATCATATTTTTGATATTATACCCTATGTGATTAGTTTCACTTGGCCTACATATTTAACGTAAAGTTATTTCATTTTGCTCCTGAACTATGTAATTTTTTTCACTTTACCAAGACACGACAGAAATTTCTGTCTAAAAAGATAATAGACATTTGTGATGGGGGCATGGCGAAATAATCAAAGTAGTTGAAGGGGTAATGCAGAAAATTCAATAGTTTAAGGGTTAAAGTGAATGGGCAAAGTGTAATTTTCCCTTTCTATAAAACACGAGAAAAATGTAATGGCTGTAACCGAACAACCCTTTCCAACGGTAAAATATTTAAATCGATCACCCTTTCAAATTACAAAGGAGAGATACCAAAACTTCNTCAAAGTGTAATTTTCCCTTTCTATAAAACACGAGAAAAATGTAATGGCTGTAACCGAACAACCCTTTCCAACTGTAAAATATTTAAATCGATCACCCTTTCAAATTACAAAGGAGAGATACCAAAACTTCTGTATCATCTCATGAGAACAGCAAACTTGTGCAAGTTATGCCTACAAAGCCAAGACTCTCTCTCCGTCGTACTCTCAAAAGCACTATCTTCAGCAAGAAACTCCAGAGATCTCCACACAGTTCATTCGCTGTTAGTCACTTTAGGACTCGACCAGTCTGTCTTTTTCTCCGGCATACTCATAAGGAAATACGACAAATTCAAAGACCCACTTGCTTCTTTATCAGTTTTTCGCCGAGTTTCCCCTACTAACAATGTTTATCTATGGAATACAATCATTAGAGCAATGACCCGTAATGGGTTGTTCTCCGAGGCTCTCAATTTGTACACCCAGATGCGAAAATTAAGGGTTTATCCCGATACGCATACTTTTCCGTCTGTTATTAATGCGTGTGCTGGTTTAGCAGCTTTTGAGATGGGAAAAATTGTTCATGACCATTTATTGCAAATGGGTTTTTGTTGGGATCTGTATATAGGTAACGCATTGATTGATATGTATTCGAGGTTTAATGAGTTGGAGAGAGCGCAAAACGTGTTTGAAGAAATTCCCCAAAGAGATGTTGTTTCTTGGAATAGTTTGATTTCGGGTTATAGCTCAAATGGGTATTGGGCAGAAGCATTAGAAATTTATCACCAATCAAGGATGGTAGGTTTGGTACCAGATTCTTTTACAGTTTCAAGTGTTTTACCGGCATGTGGCAGCTTGGTGGCCGTGGAAGAGGGTGAGAGAGTTCATGGCTTGATAGAGACGATTGGGATCAAGACAGATGTAATTGTGAGCAATGGGCTTCTTTCAATGTATTTTAAATTTGATAAGTTAATGGATTGTTGGAGAGTTTTTGATGAGATGCTAGTCAGAGACACAGTTACTTGGAACATTGTGATATGTGGATACTCACAATCGGGCTTGTATGAGGAGTCAATCAGGTTCTTTTTGGAAATGGAGCGTGAATTCAAACCAGACCTGCTAACCATCACTTCTGTCCTCCGTGCTTGTGGTCATGTTGGGGACTTGAAATTGGGAAGTTACATTCATGACTACATGATGAGAAATGGATACGAATGTGATACTACAACTCAGAATATTATTATTAATATGTATGCTAATTGTGGTAATTTAGTAGCTTCACAGGAAGCTTTTGATGCGATGAAAAATAAGGATTTGGTGTCATGGAACTCGCTGATTAGTGGTTATGTCAATTATGGATATTATGAGGAAGCAATGAAGCTTTTAAAGATGATGAAGATGGAGTTGCAACCAGATTTTGTCACTTATTTGATGCTTCTGTCTATGTCTACTCGGCTAATAAACATAAATCATGCCATGGAACTCCACTGTGATATAATTAAAAATGGATTTGATTCAACTTTAGTTGTGGGTAATGCTCTTGTGGATGTCTACGCTAAATGTGGCGAATTAGAGAATTCACTGAAGCAATTTGAAAACATGAAAGTTCATGATACAGTAACATGGAATACCATTATTGCTGCATGTGGTCATTGTGAGGACTGCAGTCTAGGATTCAGAATGATTAGTAGAATGCGAATTGAGGGGATGATGCCAGATGTTGCTACCATGTTAGGTACCTTGCCTTTGTGCTCCTTATTGGCTGCCAAAAGACAAGGGAAAGAAATGCATGGCTGCATTTTCAGGTTAGGGTTTGAGTCAGATGTTGCGATTGGGAATGCTTTGATTGAAATGTACTCTAAAAGTGGATGTTTGATGAAGTCAATCTTAGTTTTTGAGCATATGAAAGTTAGAGACATAGTGACATGGACTGCGTTGATCTCTGCATATGGAATGTATGGCGAAGGCAGGAAAGCTCTTAGAGCTTTTGAGGATATGAAGAAAACAGGTGTTGTTCCAGATCATATTTTGTTTATTTCCATCCTATATGCATGTAGCCATTCACGTTTGGTCAAAGAAGGTCGAGCTTGCTTTGATAAGATGAAGCAAGAATACAACATTGAGCCTAGAATTGAACATTATGCTTGTGTGGTTGATCTTCTATCAAGGTCTGGGTTCATAGCTGAAGCAGAGGAATTTGTTCTTGCCATGCCATTGAAGCCGGATGCAAGTATATGGGGAGCTCTACTTAGTGCGTGTCGAGCAAGTGGCGACATCAAGATTGTAGAACGGGTTTCAAAACGTATCATTGAATTGAATTCAGAAGATACTGGATATTATGTTTTAGTGTCAAATGTATATGCAATCCTAGGGAAGTGGGATCAAGTGAGAACGATTCGAAAGTCTTTGCAAGACAGAGGACTTAGAAAAGACCCTGGATGTAGTTGGATAGAGATTCAAAACAGGGTATATATTTTTGGCACTGGAGATAGGTTTTTTGAACAATATGAACAGGTCAATAATTTACTGGAGACCCTTGCTGGTATAATGGCCAAGGAAGGTTATGTTGCTGACTTGAAATTTGCTATACATGATGTTGATGAGGATGAGAAGAGATACATGCTTTGTGGGCATAGCGAAAGGCTTGCCATAGCATTTGGATTGTTAAATACGAAACCTGGTACCCCTTTGCAGGTAATGAAGAATCTTCGGGTTTGTGGAGATTGCCACACGGTGACTAAGTACATATCAAAGATTGTCCAACGAGAAATATTAGTTAGAGATGCCAATCGCTTTCATTTATTCCAGGATGGAAACTGTAGTTGTGGAGATAATTGGTGATGGAATGCATTGTTCTATCACTGGTTGATGACTGAAGCAGATCTTCCACAGTAAAGAGTTAAAGAAATAAACATAGCTGCATTATATTTGCAGGCAGGTCAGACTGGCTTGACTCTCTGCTTGCTCTGTGTTTCGTGGAGTTTATCTATTGTTTTTCCTAAATTCAATTTGTTATGCTTAACTACAGGAATAATCATCACCATCAATGTACAAGTTATTTCAGAATTGCTGGACATCACTTTTGTGTCGATCATCTGGTAGATGTTTTTAAATTGCTACCCAAAATATATAATTTGTTTGGCAGTAGACTCACAATAAGCAATTTTAAATGAATGAAATATATTTTCCTTGCAGACCATTACTCACTTTATACATCTAAAGGTCAACCAGCCAGCCATATCAATTGGATGATGTTTGTNAATATATTTTCTTTGCAGACCATTACTCACTTTATACATCTAAAGGTCAACCAGCCAGCCATATCAATTGGATGATGTTTGTTTCCTGAGGGTATACTTTAAATACATTTTTGTTGTTTCAGTATTGTCTTGAACTTTAAGAACTTTTGGCTTCTATTGTCAGTTTAGCTTTACTATTTCTGTATACTATATAAACTGAATATTCTGTGTCCTGCTACTTCTCTATTTTTTTTTTCATTCACCTCGACGATTCTGTAAAGAACTTTTTGGCTGTTCTTTGCTTGAAAAAACGTTGGTCTTTCATTCAGTCGATAACAGCCTGTTAAAATTCCCACAAAGAGCTTGTTAAACTGGAGATTCTCAAATCACCTTACTTTCAATATGAGCTGCCAACGTAGAGACCAAATCACAATGTCAATTTTTTTTTTCAACCCTGGGGAAAGATGATGATATTTAAAATTTGATTTTAGGGAAGACAATTCTTTGGAACATGCATGCACGTATGTGGGTGGCTTTCATTTGGGCATATGTAATTTTTATGGTAGGCAGGGGGTAATAGCTAGTTATTAGTGGGGTACAAGGTGAAGATAACATTGAAACCCTAGTTCGCTTTGAATCTAATGAAACTGGTATTACTATAAACGCGGCTTATTAGCAGGCTAGCTGCTATCTGTAAACTTTATCGAGTTATCGAGAACTGTTTTGTTTTTGATTAGAGAGCATCACTTGGGTAATTTCACTCTTTACTGGAGCAGGTCGTGAGAGTTCTTTCCTGTTCTGCCACATGAACTAGATTAGGGGCTACAGGTAAGTCTTTGTGTGCTAGGTTCAGACATATTTTATTTTTATCATCCTGGCACTTGGCAGTATGGTTGTTACTTGTTAGAATGTTACGATGCACGATTCGATACATACGATACATGTCAATATAGAAATAGAACGGTACATTTCATATAAGTGTATCGTTTTATCTTGAGATACACGATGCTGATCGATACACCTGTATAGGTTCAAAAAGGAGAAAATAACAAAAAAGAGAAAGAAAGATAACTGTCCTATATGATTTTTATATAGATTTTTTAACTTGTTGACTCTTTCAATCATCTTAATTTATATAGATTTTTTATATAATTCATATTCTCTTTCTGGGCCTAGAAATATTTTGTCAAATCTAAGAAGGCATGGACACGGACACGGAACACGGACACGCCGATACGACATTTCTCAAAAAAGTAGCACACGGACATGTTGAGGACACGCTACAAAAAAATTATATTTTATATATAACATTATATAATTTATTACAAATATAGTGATAATGATATACAATTCATAAAAAAATCAGTACTTTATAATAAAAAAACCTAATGTCTAGTCATCTGTGTAAATTTTTAGACTAAATTATCCTCATTATAGTCAATAATCATCAATTTTTTTTTGTAGACAATGTGTACCTAATATATAATTTAAATAATTGTTCTCATTTTCTCAATTCCTCTTTTTTAAAACTTTTATGCATATTTTATTTTTATTATTATATTTGGAGTACAACTTTAATATGTCTAGTATTAGTAATTATATGTTCTCAAATTTTTAAACTTTGTTAATCACATTTCAACAAATGTCTATTGTTTAATAGTAGACATGTTCTAAAGAAGTGTCGAACACGTCACCAAAGAAGTGTCCGAAATTAAAAATTTATCATTTAATTATGGATACGGATAAACGAGTACGGACACGTGTCCGAGAGTGTCCAAAGAGTATCGGTGTCTGATACGTGTCCGACACGGATACGTTACGTTGTCGAGAGTGTCTGTGCTTAATAGTGTCAAATAAGAAAAGAAAGGAAAACAAGTAGTTGAAAAAAATAATGAAGCGGAAGGAGACATACATCATGTTGAAAAAGATGGATAAGTTGGTAGCATCCGATTATGAAGATATCGATAACGTTGAAATTGAAGATCAAGATGAAAATGTGGTTCATAGGACTATAATAATTGATTATTTTGGATTTTGCTATTCTTTAAATTCGGATATTGATGAATTATATTGTAAACTTGAATTGTTAGATACTTAAATTTTGTTTTGAAAGTTGGTGGTCTTTTTTAATCTAGTATGGAATTTAAGTTGAAATATCTATATCGTTTTGGAACTATTATATACAAACACAAGACACTTATACACATACATGTATGCGTTACGATACATGATACACTAATTTAAGAAAATAAAATGCAGTACAATACACGTTTTGACAACCTTTCTTGGCAGGAATATGACCTGCTTCAAATGTGACCTCTGACTAAGTATTGGGATTTTGTGGTATTTTTGATTTAGTTTTTGGTGAACTTGTTGGTGGTGCTTTATGAGTTGCAGTATTGTGAGTTCATTTTTGGTCGTTTGTTTTTACTGGAGAATTCTAGGTTCTGTTTTGTTCAGTTAGTTAATTTGGGGTTATCCAAGCTATGAAGGTGGCATTGCAGACTAGGAAGAAATTGAATTCCATTTTGTTTGATCCTCCATATTTTAATAGTAAGGAGTATGACAAATGGGAATAAGAGAAAGTATGTGCTCATGTCATAATGATGGAACATGAAGCCATTCGAAGAGAAAGCTTATATCAGGTGCATGATGTTTATCCAAAGTTTCCCTTCTCCTTGACTCTTCTGAGCATGGTGTTTGGATTCATTAGAGTGCCAACTAGTCTGCTCACCATCATGCCGATTTCATTGAGAAGACCATGCGTATGATATCCATGACGCTACTTCAATACCTGAGAAGTGAAGCAGCTTCCCCAAGTCTTTCATCTGAAAATGTTTAGTCAAGTGGACTTCCAACAAATATATACCATCAACCAATTATTAAGGTTTTGTTTCAAAACTGCCATAACGCAAAAACTTTTTTGTTTCCATGGAAATCGCAACGAATTAGTGATTGAATTTCAAAATTCCTACGTTTCAAAATATTTTGAGGTATTTCAAAATGTTTCCACAGATGTGTCGAAATGTTCCGGAGATAAATTTTCAATTTTTTTCTCCATTTCTATTCGGTTTATGAAATGTTTAAACATTTCTATAATGTTTCCATAATTTTGATCCTTGCCCTCCCCATCATTTGGATTTTAATCAACATAAGTCATCCAATGATTCGTAGTGTAAATTTTTTGGAGTTTATGAAACGTGAAAAGCATAATTGTAATGTGAATAAATTTGTTGCTACAACTCTCGTGGGAGTAGAACTGGTGCTACTAGAAGTTGTTGGCTCTGATTATCAGTCTTACAGATTTTTTTCTTTGATGATACTAAAGGTATAAATCTCTATTATGTAATTCCAGATAAAGTCCTTGAAGAGCAATGCACACACTGGCACACATCTCCATTGCATGGGAAATGAATGGATTACTTGATCTTTATTCACACGATTCAACTGGCCCTCAAGGTTTAGAAATAGCTTCAGGAAGTGGCTCCTTTAGGTGCAGCTGCTGCCAGGTATGTCTCATGCATGGCTTGGAACTTAGTGATTAACTTGTCTTGAGGTGGCCAGTTTTCTTTGATTACTGGAACATCTGAGAAATTCTCCATCCATGCTGCTGATAACAATGGGAATTTCTCAGAATCTATCATCTTTAGTCCAGTTATCTCTTCGAAGAGACTGACAATTGTAGCTATCCAACCAAATGCTAGATCTAGAATTCCGATGTTCTCTCCACCAAAGAATGTCTTCCCCTTCAGCAGCTCTTCTACACATTTCGGGATCTCCATGGCTGGAACAATAGATTCCTTTTGCTCTTTCCCTTGTTTAATAAAAGCTTGCCCTGTTGATGGCAAGAGCTACAAGCACAAACTGGCAGCAAGGAGTCAACTGAATGACCAAAGCATCGGTTGCTTCTACTTCTGGCCTTCTTCGACCGCCTAGACACCTTAGAGAGAAATATATAGTCAAGGTCAAGAANATTGATGGCAAGAGCTACAAGCACAAACTGGCAGCAAGGAGTCAACTGAATGACCAAAGCATCGGTTGCTTCTACTTGTGGCCTTCTTCGACCGCCTAGACACCTTAGAGAGAAATATATAGTCAAGGTCAAGAATAACTTTATGAGCTGTATTAGAGTGCAACTTGGACGTTTGAGAGGTCAATCTGGGTTCAACCCAAGTCATAAAACTCTAAACATAGATTCAACCTGAATCCTTGTTCAATTCTAATCATTCAATCCATGTACTACGCGTGAATAGATTTTTGAACTCAGGTTGGAACTTGTGTTCGACAATCAGTTTGAAATTCAAGTTCAATTCGGGCTCGATTATCTTGTTAAAGAACTAGGCTTGAACCCGAATTAGAAAATTTTGGTTGGGTCACGGGAAACCTGAGATCCAAAATTTTTAGGTTGAACTTTTTTGCCCAAAGCCAACCCGAATATTAGAAATCTGTGATAAAGTACCAAATATTTCGGGTTGGTTCAGCTTAGAGACTAACCTATGATTAAATGAAATGAAAGTAATATAAACACTATGGTCACTTGCTAGTGAAATAGCTAAAACATTAGGCTGACAATTGTGTGTTTGTGAGTTTTAACATGAGGGCAACCACTTTGTCTGTTATGAAAGATCATGTTTGTACACAATCAATCTCTCCCAACACCCTCAACTAACGGAACCAACCTAGGAAATGACTTTAAAACTATTATTGTAAACTAATGCAAGATCATGTTATATATGAAAGTTCACAAAATCAGAAACATNTCTCTCCCAACACCCTCAACTAACGGAACCAACCTAGGAAATGACTTTAAAACTAATATTGTAAACTAATGCAAGATCATGTTATATATGAAAGTTCACAAAATCAGAAACATGAAAGCCTTTACGCATTTTTCCGGTTCTGGTCAACTCAGCCTGTAAATGTAGCAGATCAATGGTTCATGTACCTTTTCATCATTGAGTTTCGCCCAGAAACGTGCAGTGGCTTTCTCATAAGGATCTTCAAGCAATAAGGGGGTTTGCTTCCATGTTTCTTCTATGTACTCAAGAATTATTAGTGATCCTGAGATTGGATTTCCATTTTGCACAAGCACTGGGACCTGTTTGTAAACAGGTTTGTACTGGAGAAGTAGAGGGCTCTTGTTGTCAAGATCCTCAAATATGGTATCATGCTCTATGCCTTAAGTTTCAGTGCCCAAACGACCCTCAAGGCAAATGGAATTGTCCATGTCCTGAAAACCGTCACCTCTTCTGCCATAATGTTTTGACAGGCAAACCATGATGGCTCGGGCCCTTTATATGCAAACTTATCTTGTTCATTATGATGTTTTTCATTTGTCTTTTTTGAATGTTGTTGTATATCCCTATATGTTATTTTGCATACCTGTATCAAGTTCTTTTTTATTATATAAATCAATATGTCTAGCCTACTACAAAGGGGAAGAAGATGGGACGGGTAATGGCTTGCGGGGATTGAATTCAGGTCTTGGAGCAGATAAAAACTGGATCTTTTCCCACTACAAACAACATGTCCTATGGCGAGGTTCAAACCCTAAAACTCTCCTTGGGAGGTGAAGACCTGACCATCCAGGTGTTCCTGTGCTGGCTTCGTATCAGCCTCTTGTTTCCATTCCCCCCTACTACATTTCATATTTCTAACTTTATTTGATAAGCAGATACAATGTCCACGTAGAGAACAATTTTCTCTTGTGCTCTAGAAATGAACAGGGTCAGAAATTTTTATTTTGATAAACTTTAGTGACTGAAAAGTTATTTTACATGTATTTTCTTTCGGAATGTTTGGAGTTCCTTTTATTCCAAGGACCTAAACTTAGAAGAAACCTATGTTTATACATCATGCATTATGTAAACTATATGATAAAAGCAGGCCAAAATAAAAGACAAAGTTTGACCAGTCTTTGGACACTTGTGTTTTTGGTATTTCATACCGGCTGCCTTGTAACTAGACCAAAGTTTCCATCTGGTTGCTTTGAATAGGCTGGCGAAGGCTCAAACTTAACTTGTTTGGATGCATAATGCTGCTGAAAACTTTTGTCCTAGTTCCTAGTGCATAACCACAAACTTTCCAATCCACCCCCTCCCCAACCCCCAGAATTTTATATCATTATGTTATTTACATGACAATGTGATTTAAACCCACATTTTTTAATGTAAAAACGTGTTTGTAAAACATCATGTCAATTTTTTTTTAGAAATCGAGTTTTGGAAACACAGTTTTATCTTGAAAAACTGGGTTTGAACCACACTTTCTATAATCAAGGGTAAGTTAAAAAATAAGCTAAGAATTAGGACAAAGATTGAATAAAGTTTAAAAAAACCCTGTAATGCAGTAATTAATGGTAGCAAATGTATTTGGTTATAGTCCATGGTGGAAAGAAGCGGTTGTAGTTAGCTACTGTTCTTCCATGTTTTAGATATTAGAAGAAAATTTTATGTCTAGGTAGTACATTTCGATCCCCAAATTTCTCTGAAGGTAAGAATTGAGCCCCAGCCACAACATCACCCCTTGGTACAAGGATTAAAATTTCATTTGGGTGCATATATTTNATATTAGAAGAAAATTTTATGTCTAGGTAGTACATTTCGATCCCCAAATTTCTCTGAAGGTAAGAATTGAGCCCTAGCCACAACATCACCCCTTGGTACAAGGATTAAAATTTCATTTGGGTGCATATATTTGAACAATCTCGTGAAATATTTTGGAAACAGAAAAAATTGGTATTCGATACCGAAACATTGAAGAAACCTCTCAAAGCATTTTGAAACATGAGAATTTTGGTTTTCAATCATCAAATAGTTTTGATTTTCACCATAACCAAAACATTCCAATCGAAGAGAGCAGAATGCGAAGAATTATGATGCCATGTCTCCATTATAGTGTAGGCATCGTTTGAGTTTCCTAAGAATATCTTTGTTAGAAAGGATAGGAGGAAAAAGACATGGAAGAGCATTAAGCTGTATACTTGTTTTTCATAAGTTACTAAGTTATAATAGGTCCTGCTTGAATGTGTATCATTTTATTGCTAAAACACTGGAGAAAATAGAAATTCTGTTGCTAACTCAAAGTTGTTGGATAATGTTATCATCGGCCATGCAGGTTTTACATGGTGGTACATACACCTAGCTCCATAGCAGATCTAGTCACTGACCAATGGACGGGAGGCAGCCTGGAATTTTTGGTGTATAAAGGACCAACAACAATGAAAGAGGAGAGGGAACTAATTTCTTTGATAATATTAGAACCTCTATTGTATGACTACATATAAAGTCTTTCAAGGACTGTTCATTCACTGGCACACATGATACATCCTCTTTACATGAGAGGTATGTATCACGTGATATTTATTCACACAATTCTACAAACACTCGAGGCTTAGAAATAACTTCAGGAAGTGGATCATTTAGGTGCAGCCACGGCGGTGTATTTCTCAATCATGGCTTGATACTTGATGATTAACTTGTCTCTAGGTGGCCAGCATTCTTTGATCACTGGAGCATCCGAAAAGTTCTGCATCCATGCCGACAACAATGGAAATTTCCCCGAAGCTGTTAAGCTGAGACCAGTTACCTCTTCTAAGACACTGACCAGATTAGCTAACCAGCCAAATGCTAGATCTAGATATCCGATTGTCTCTCCACCAAAGAATACGTTCCCCTTCAGCTTCTCTTCTACATATTTCAGGTTCTCCTCAACTTGAACAATAGCTTCCTCTTGCTCTTTCCCTTGTTTAGTTGAAGCATCCCTTATTGATGGCAAAAGCTACATTCGGGGGGAGAAATGTGTAATTAAGGTTAAGAATAAGGTTAATGTTACTAACAATGAGTACCATCTCAGAAAACTTCATCAATTTTTGATCATATGATTTTACATAAATAGTTTCATGGAAACATTCTCTTTATTCACATTCATGCGAAAGTAAGATTATGCATATTTTGATCCTACATAAAACCCACAATAGCAGAAATATGAAAGTTTTCACTACAAGGCAAGGCAGGCAGCCTTGATGTCTGAGAACAGTGATTTGTTTACCTCTTCATCATTAAACCTTGCCCAGAAACGTGCAGTGGCTTTCTCAAAAGGATCTTCAGGTAACAAGGGATGTTGCTTCCATGTTTCTTCAATATATTCAAGAATTACAAGTGATTCTAAGATTGGCTTTCCATTGTGCAGGAGTACTGGGACCTTTTTGTGAACAGGGTTGTATTGGAGGAGAAGAGAGCTCTTGTTTTGAAGATCCTCAAGTATGGTTTCATATTCTATACCCTTCAGCTTCAGTGCCCAGACAATCCTCAATGCAAATGGACTTGACCAGTTCCTGAAGAGCTTCACTTCTTCTGCCATGACTGGTAAACTGTGATCAACTCGAGGTTAAGAATTTCCAACCTCAACTTAGTAGTTTATAGATTGGATAATGTTATGGTATCAAAATTTACTTTTTAGAACTGTTACCGACAAACGAATCTGAACCTTAGATCTTTATTGATGTTATTTAGAGCCATTGAGCATGAAAATTGTAGAATAAAGTGAAATAAAAAAAAATGATATAGAAAAATCACTTTCACTATCATTTTCTAACACACATATCAGACATTTTTGTGGTATATTATACTAAAAGCAGGCCAACAAATAATGCTCTGATTGGAAGACAAATTTGACAAATATGTTACTCTTTGTAGTCTTTGGACAGCTGTTTTAGTCTCCCATGGCGGCGGCTTTTGTAATAAGTTTTGGAGTAAGAGCTACTTTACTTTTACTGATGTAATTTTAATTTAATTTATTATGATTTTTGAAATTCGGTGTTGATCCAATGGTTCTGTTGAAGTCACATTAAATTTGTAAATTGGGTCAAATTTTTATATCCAAATAATATTACTTTAAGATTGGTGTTGTCGGATTCATATCCATTTCAAAGAGTTGACTACGGTACCAAGAACTATACATCTATTTATTACATTTGTGAGTATTTTTATCATTGTTATGGTACCCAAAAAATAATAAAAAGTAATTATCACAACATTGATAAAAAATCTAAAAATATAGTAAAAATGTCCANCTTCTATGAACGAGAAAACCAATTAATTATATGACAATTGCCCCAAGAGCGTCCGACAAAAAAGAACCCAAGAAAGGTGCCGAAATGGTTGAAGCATTGGAAATAGGTTTAATTTAGCATTACCTGTTAAATGTGAANTTTCTATGAACGAGAAAACCTATTAATTATATGACAATTGCCCCAAGAGCGTCCGACAAAAAAGAACCCAAGAAAGGTGTCGAAATGGTTGAAGCATTGGAAATAGGTTTAATTTAGCATTACCTGTTAAATGTGAAGACAGTGAGTCTGGATCTTTGCACAATGATAAAATTGTTTTATTGTAATTTGAATGTCATTGTTTTGAATTGGATAAAAAAAATTTTCATATGCAACACTAAAATTGTATATATATGATTTTCCTCAACTTATGTGGTTGGATTAATAATGTCAATGGTGAATTTTTTTTTTTTTTTAAATATTTTGAAAGTGGGCTAGTTTGCTTTGTTTTTTTTTTTTTATTCCCACAAGAAACATAGTTGATCCATATATTATAGTTCTTATGGTTTCTAATCTACAATTAGTTGATCTAAAATAATTTGGACAAGTTTTTGTTGAATTATTGGGTTGGAGAGTTCATAATTAGATTATTAATCTTACACATTAATATGTACCCCTATGCAACAGAAACTTAAAAATAACACGGTTAATTAACACAATTAATAATTTTTTTTAGATATGTGTTAAAAACAAGCCACACTTTTAATTGATGTTGCGGGAAGAGTATATAAGAAATACCATATATAAATATTGATTTTAAAAATAAATGGATTAAACACATTATAAATTAAAAATAATAAGGTCAATCCAAAAATAAAAAAGAAATTTTGTACTTTGTCATAACACGACTTGATCCGTACTTTTATTCATGCTATTTAAAATTATGATATATTTTTTTAATTACTCTTTGAATTATGTAATTTGTTTCAATTGATATCATCCGTTAAAATTAATTGTTAAATAAGATAGATTAATTGTTGATATTAACGGAATTTGTCTCATTTGACGATTAATCTTAACAAAATCTATCTTATTTATCGATTAATCTCAATAAAGGTGTTGATTAAAATAAATTACACGTTACAGAGAATAAATTGGAGAAATTAAAAATCCAGCCCGGAATGTGTAAAAAGGAGGAAATTGCAGCAATCCCTCTGTTTGGTTCCTGAAGCAACAGAGGAAAATTATTGGATGACTTATTTTTGTTTTCTTGAACATTTTCTCAGCAGCCAAACGGTGCAGTCGACTGATGTGGGTGAAGTAGAAATTGAACTGAGAAGAATGTGGTGAGGTTTTGAATGTGATGATTCATAAGGATCACTAGGTACTTGATGATATGCCGAGTAGAGAAGAGATATTGGTTCTTGGACTGCAATGTTATGTGGGTATGCAAAATGCTGAAGGTTAGAAGAGGCAAGAACTTTGTTTGATAGGATAAAATGAAGAGAATGATGTTTGTTGGAATTCAATCCTATCAGGTTATGTAAGAAATGGAGGAATTAAAGAGGCTAGAGAATTGTTTGAGGCGATGCTGATATGAACTCTGTCGTGGCTGCCTATTATTGAAGGGTGTTCTATGTAGGCTTGCAAGTGAAGCCAAAAAATTGTTTAATCATGCTTCTATAAAAAGTTTGTTGCTTTATAATCCTACGTTGGTTGGTTGTGAAGAAATGAGATATGTTGACAATTGTTATGAGTTATTTATTAAGATTCCTCAACATGACGTGGGTTCATGGACTAGCACTAGAGCATGTTGTTTGAGTGGTGGGTGAGTAGACAAAGCTAGGGGCTTGTTTCAGGAGATACCAAAAATATGTGGTGGCTTGGATAGCAATGATTCTTTGGTTGGGGGGGGAGGGGGGGGGGCTATTTGCTCATTCAGATTCAACATTTGGTAATGATTTGACAAGATACCTCAGAGAGACGATGTTGCATGGAATTCGATGGTTGGTGGTTCTGTTCAGAATGGATGTTGGAAGATGCTCTTGAATTGTTCATGAAGATGCCATGACGGGATATAATGTCATTGAGTTTGGTATTGTAGGGATATGTTCAACAAGATTTTTCGCTTGAGCAGGATAAAATGCAACAAGGTGGAACATATGGTTGCTGGATATCGAAAGATAGTTTTGAATGTCCATATGTTGCAAAGTCGATTTGTGATACTAGTATGATCTCAGTATGTGGTGTGCTTTTACATGATTGGAGACGGGCAGCGCACCTCTGTCTGATCAAGATTTGTTAGAAAATCTTAAAAGATGCTGCTGCCGTGTTTGAAAGGGTTAAAAATTGTGATATAGAGGCACGGAATCCCATGATTGTGGCACAAATATGACATGGTTCTGGTATACAAGTCCTCCGTCTCACCTTCTATGATTACTTGTTTAGGTCTCTTGACTAACTGTGCTCATTTGCCAATAATCGATGAGATCTAGAAAAACGTTCAATTTAGTGCAGAAGAACTGGAATTGGTTTCAAAAACGTTAGCATTATGTCTGCTTAGTTGATCTCCTTGGTAGATCAGGATTGCTGGCTGCTGGGAAACATTACCTGGTTCATGTAGAGTCGACAAAAATTTTGAGACATGTGAATTTGTTGCAAAAAAGCTTCCAAGTATTCAACCTCCAATGTTGGGATGTATGCACTTCTATCACCTATATATACTACGAGAGTTGCGTAGAAGGACGCAGCAACTGTTAGACCAGTATTGAAGCAACATCAATTGAAAGAGTTGGCATGTAGTTGGATTGAGATGAATTGTAAGTTTTATCATTAACTGTATAATGGCAAATTTTATCTCCTAACAGAGTCTCTATTCAAACAATATTAGTCTTTACCTAATCCTTGATGAACTTGGCTTGATGACACATTGATGAGGTGATGATATTCATCTAAATGTATAGTTTTATGTCACTTGTTTATAGAAATCATACTCGAAGGATTGTATAAACTTGCATGGAGAAATTTGCTTTCATGTTTGCATTGCCACAAGCTTACATGCAATTGATTACTATACATTTGTATAAACATGATCAATTAACATTAAAAGAAAAAAGAAAGAATGTCTATACATTATTTTTCATAAGTTACTAAGTTATAATAGGTCCTGCTTGAATGTGTATCATTTTATTGCTAAAACACTGAAGAAAATAGAAATTCTGTTGCTAACTCAAAGTTGTTGGATAATGTTATCATCGGCCATGCAGGTTTTACGTGGTGGTACATACAACTAGCTCCATAGCAAAGCTAGTCCCTGACCAATGGACGGGAGGCGGCCGGGAATTTTTGGTGTATAAAGGACCAACAACAATGAAAGAGGAGAGGGAACTAATTTCTTTGATAATATTAGAACCTCTATTATATGACTACATATAAAGTCTTTCAAGGACTGTTCATTCACTGGCACACATGATACATCCTCTTTACATGAGAGGTATGTATCACGTGACATTTATTCACACAATTCTACAAACACTCGAGGCTTAGAAATAACTTCAGGAAGTGGATCATTTAGGTGCAGCCACGGCGGTGTATTTCTCAATCATGGCTTGATACTTGATGATTAACTTGTCTCTAGGTGGCCAGCATTCTTTGATCACTGGAGCATCCGAAAAGTTCTGCATCCATGCCGACAACAATGGAAATTTCCCCGAAGCTGTTAAGCTGAGACCAGTTACCTCTTCTAAGACACTGACCAGATTAGCTAACCAGCCAAATGCTAGATCTAGATATCCGATTGTCTCTCCACCAAAGAATACGTTCCCCTTCAGCTTCTCTTCTACATATTTCAGGTTCTCCTCAACTTGAACAATAGCTTCCTCTTGCTCTTTCCCTTGTTTAGTTGAAGCATCCCTTATTGATGGCAAAAGCTACATTCGGGGGGAGAAATGTGTAATTAAGGTTAAGAATAAGGTTAATGTTACTAACAATGAGTACCATCTCAGAAAACTTCATCAATTTTGATCATATGATTTTACATAAATAGTTTCATGGAAACATTCTCTTTATTCACATTCATGCAAAGGTAAGATTATGTATATTTTGATCTTACATAAAACCCATAAAACTCACAATAGCAGAAATATGAAAGTTTTCACTACAAGGCAAGGCAGGCAGCCTTGATGTCTGAGAACAGTGATTTGTTTACCTTTTCATCATTAAACCTTGCCCAGAAACGTGCAGTGGCTTTCTCAAAAGGATCTTCAGGTAACAAGGGATGTTGCTTCCATGTTTCTTCAATATATTCAAGAATTACAAGTGATTCTAAGATTGGCTTTCCATTGTGCAGGAGTACTGGGACCTTTTTGTGAACAGGGTTGTATTGGAGGAGAAGAGAGCTCTTGTTTTGAAGATCCTCAAGTATGGTTTCATATTCTATACCCTTCAGCTTCAGTGCCCAGACAATCCTCAATGCAAATGGACTTGACCAGTTCCTGAAGAGCTTCACTTCTTCTGCCATGACTGGTAAACTGTGATCAACTCGAGGTTAAGAATTTCCAACCTCAACTTAGTAGTTTATAGATTGGATAATGTTATGGTATCAAAATTTACTTTTTAGAACTGTTACCGACAAACGAATCTGAACCTTAGATCTTTATTGATGTTATTTAGAGCCATTGAGCATGAAAATTGTAGAATAAAGTGAAATAAAAAAAAATGATATAGAAAAATCACTTTCACTATCATTTTCTAACACACATATCAGACATTTTTGTGGTATATTATACTAAAAGCAGGCCAACAAATAATGCTCTGATTGGAAGACAAATTTGACAAATATGTTACTCTTTGTAGTCTTTGGACAGCTGTTTTAGTCTCCCATGGCGGCGGCTTTTGTAATAAGTTTTGGAGTAAGAGCTACTTTTAATTTAATTTATTATGGCTTTTGAAATTAGGCGTTGATCCAATGGTTCTGTTGAAATCACATTAAATTAGCAAATTAGGTCAAATTTTTATATCCAAATAATATTACTCTAAGATTGGTGTTGTCGGATTCATATCCATTTCAAAGAGTTGACTACGGTACCAAGAACTATACATCTATTTATTACATTTGTGGGTATTTTTATCATTGTTATGGTACCCAAAAAATAATAAAAAGTAATTATCACAACATTGATAAAAAATCTAAAAATATAGTAAAAATGTCCATAAATATGGTAAATTATCCATAAAAGTGATAATTTTTTATATTAAAAAAAAAGTAATAAAAATAGTTACCACAAATGTGATAAAAAAACCCACTAAATTTTTAGGCCATAAAATGACCCAAAAATATTATAAAAATACAATTGAAGTAATAAAAGTTAGAGGTACGGTAATCGAAAATTTTTTTTGGTACCATAGTCAAGTCCCCATTTCAATGCTCTGATTTTTTTTTCGAAAAAAATATAAATCACTCATGATGTATTGGTGGAAGAAGTTATTCATATACGATGAGTTCTACTTCAATTAAAAAAAAGTAACTTAGTAATAAGATTGAAGTTTAATTTTTTTTTCTTTTTATTTTACATACTCTTAGCTCATTAATTGAAACTATTTTTTTTTTTGAGAATTTTAAGCTACCTTATATTACTGAGGCATATCCTCGAGAATAAAAAAACTGGGGCATACTCATTTCATGAATGCAACGTCAACAAATTTGCTCATGATCAAGTAACAACTTAAGATCTATGATCAAATTACCTTCTATGAACAAGTAAATCTATTAATTATATGGCCATTGCCACAAGAGTGTCTAAAAAAAAAACAAACCCCAGAAAGGTGTCACAATGATTGAAGCATTGGAAATAGGTTTAATTTAGCATTATCTGTTAAATGTGAAGACAGTGGGTCTAGTCTAAATCTTTGCACAATGATAAAATTGTTTTATTGTAACTTGAATGTCATTGTTTTGAATTGGATAAACAATGTTTTCGTACGCAACAATAAAATTGTATATATATGACTTTCCTCAACTTATGTGGCTGGATTAATACCGCCAATGGTAACCTTTTTTTTTAAAAAATATTTTGAGAAAGTGGGCTAGTTTGCTTTTTTTTTTCTTTTCTCCATGAGGGAGGTTCCCCCCCCCCCCCCCCCAANGGGTATGCAAAATGCTGAAGGTTAGAAGAGGCAAGAACTTTGTTTGATAGGATAAAATGAAGAGAATGATGTTTGTTGGAATTCAATCCTATCAGGTTATGTAAGAAATGGAGGAATTAAAGAGGCTAGAGAATTGTTTGAGGCGATGCTGATATGAACTCTGTCGTGGCTGCCTATTATTGAAGGGTGTTCTATGTAGGCTTGCAAGTGATGCCAAAAAATTGTTTAATCATGCTTCTATAAAAAGTTTGTTGCTTTATAATCCTACGTTGGTTGGTTGTGAAGAAATGAGATATGTTGACAATTGTTATGAGTTATTTATTAAGATTCCTCAACATGACGTGGGTTCATGGACTAGCACTAGAGCATGTTGTTTGAGTGGTGGGTGAGTAGACAAAGCTAGGGGCTTGTTTCAGGAGATACCAAAAATATGTGGTGGCTTGGATAGCAATGATTCTTTGGTTGGGGGGGGAGGGGGGGGGGCTATTTGCTCATTCAGATTCAACATTTGGTAATGATTTGACAAGATACCTCAGAGAGACGATGTTGCATGGAATTCGATGGTTGGTGGTTCTGTTCAGAATGGATGTTGGAAGATGCTCTTGAATTGTTCATGAAGATGCCATGACGGGATATAATGTCATTGAGTTTGGTATTGTAGGGATATGTTCAACAAGATTTTTCGCTTGAGCAGGATAAAATGCAACAAGGTGGAACATATGGTTGCTGGATATCGAAAGATAGTTTTGAATGTCCATATGTTGCAAAGTCGATTTGTGATACTAGTATGATCTCAGTATGTGGTGTGCTTTTACATGATTGGAGACGGGCAGCGCACCTCTGTCTGATCAAGATTTGTTAGAAAATCTTAAAAGATGCTGCTGCCGTGTTTGAAAGGGTTAAAAATTGTGATATAGAGGCATGGAATCCCATGATTGTGGCACAAATATGACATGGTTCTGGTATACAAGTCCTCCGTCTCACCTTCTATGATTACTTGTTTAGGTCTCTTGACTAACTGTGCTCATTTGCCAATAATCGATGAGATCTAGAAAAACGTTCAATTTAGTGCAGAAGAACTGGAATTGGTTTCAAAAACCTTAGCATTATGTCTGCTTAGTTGATCTCCTTGGTAGATCAGAATTGCTGGCTGCTGGGAAACATTACCTGGTTCATGTAGAGTCGACAAAAATTTTGAGACATGTGAATTTGTTGCAAAAAAGCTTCCGAGTATTCAACCTCCAATGTTGGGATGTATGCACTTCTATCACCTATATATACTACGAGAGTTGCGTAGAAGGATGCAACAAATGTTAGAGCAGTATTGAAGCAACATCAATTGAAAGAGTTGGCATGTAGTTGGATTGAGATGGATTGTAAGATCTATCATTAACTGTATAATGTCAAATCTTATCTCCTAACAGAGTCTCTATTCAAACAATATTAGTCTTTACCTAATCCTTGATGAACTTGGCTTGATGACACATTGATGAGGTGATATTCATCTAAATGTATAGTTTTATGTCACTTGTTTGTAGAAGTTGATGATGCACAAATCGGTATTGCGCAAGATCAACAGTCAAGAATATAAACAAAGGCAATCAACGAGCAATAAAAAAATAATTAATGGTAAAGCAGTAGATAAAGTGCTAACACAGATATTTACAGTGGTTCGGTCTGAGTGACCTATTCCACTTTCGTAAACGACAGCGGTGACCTGAGTCTTTTATTAATAGGTGAAATCGCCGGAGAGAGTATTCTCCAGGAGTATTTGTGTTTGAGAGGGAGAGAGGAGTGTGTATAAGAGGAGATGTAGAGGTTTTGGAGGCATGCCCTCAATATTGAGAGGACGTATGTTATATTGTTAGGGTAAGACAGTGAGACGGTGACGTGAGGAAGGGAGTTTTTACTATTTTGGTAAGTACAATTTTAGTAGGATTAGATCTCCATCCCGACATTCTCTCCTTTGTGCTCCTATTCAATCGGAGGAAGATCTTCCCTCGGTTTATTTTTATTGGGTTTGGCCAAGTCAGATTCGGGCTCATCAGAAATCGTACTCGAAGGATTGTATGAACTTGCATGGAGAAGTTTGCTTTCATGTTTGCGTTGCTAGAAGCTTACATGCAATTGATTACTACAGATTTGTATAAACATGGTCAATTAACATTAAAAGAAAAAAGAAAGAATTTCTATACATTAGATGGATCATTCTTTGGTCTTTGTCCAATGTCAAATGAATGTCTTTTTCAGTAATTATATGTAGCTTCATCATCCTCATTCATCATGACCATCTGTGTTTGTCTCAGCAAGTAATATTTCTCAATCCATTTCCCAAATTTCTCTGGCATTTTCCCTCGAGTCCATTGGAAATCGGCTTTCATTCCCATTCCCTCTGATGAACATGCTTATATATATCCAAGGCGTTTTAGAAAAATTCATCACCATCAACGTATAATGTATAGGGAAATCGATTCCAGAAAAAATTGATATCCTTTTTTGGAGATTGTCAAGATGAAACTTTTAAGTTTAATGGCATCTCACATTCCCTTGAGGATGTAACCGATGAATCTCCTCCTCCTCCTCCTCCATGTCCATAGCCTCGACTTTCCTCCTCTTCCACCACCACTGCCGCGTCGTTAGGCGAATTCAACGTGGCATTGCTCGTTGTGGCTGTGTTGGTCATGGTGGTTGCCCTCTGCATTCCATGGTTGCCACGCCGTGAAATCTGGCGGTCCTCGACGCGGCTGCCACGGAAACAAACTTTCATGCACGTGTAGATGTAGGTTAGGAACCAGAACAACCATGGGGAGCCTATTAGGATCAATGCAGCAATGGGAAACCAAGGTTGGGAAAATTGTGGTGTAAAAACGTAGAGCATAAGGAAGACTCCACCAGTAACTACAAATAGGCAGAATAGGGAAGATATAAGAGGGACTCTAACATCTCTTCCCCTTTCGTCTTCCATTTATTGTTCTTACAAGGCCTGCACTTCTCTCTCTCTCTCCCTCTCCCTCTCCATAGAGTTGAGTTGCAGGTAACCAACAATAAGATGGACAGAAAACAAAAGAGCGTGAGAAGCGGAGGTAGTTTGCACATAAAAATGACATGACAATGAAGCATTGAAAGTAAATATGGTATTTTAGGGAGAAAACTGATCTAACACATTNGAATTGTGTATTTTTATAATTCTTATTAAAAATTATATTTGTATTTAAATAAAGATAAATATATCTTTTGAAATGAATTTGTCCTTAATGACCCAAAAGATAGGTGCGTGGACTTGGTGACCATGCAGAAGGCCAAAAGGGACTAGCCTCCAAAAACCCCCTAAAATTTAAATCCATTAATTTTGCCCAAAAAAATTAAGTCCAATAAAAAATTTTATTGCAATAATTTTGACCCATGATCCAATCCATAACATTAGAAACCTAAAAAACAAAAGTAAAAAAAAATACTCAAAAATAAACTCATATTTACACCTATTCATTCTCTCTCTCTCTCTCCGATAAAAAACAAAAGGAAAAATTAAAACCTTTTTCTTGACAATAATATCGCATCATTCTTTTGTCTCTCATATAAAAAAATTTAAAAAAAATATTAAATAAAATAATACTAAAAATAAAATAAAAAACCGCATTTAGTGTTTTTGTTTTAGGCCTCAAATTGCCTTGAACCACTCCTACAGCCGTGCATAGTTTCCATAATCACACTACTCATTATAATTCTTTATTTCTCATAAAGTTAGCATTACTATTAGCAGTGTAAAAATAAAATAAAATAAAAAAAGTTGGTATAAATCTAATACACGACTCCAGACTCATTTTATCCATCAAATATATTTATCTCATTTACACCATATAAACCCACATTATGAAGAATAAAGTTTCATACATNTCCTTTAAAATTATAATTGACACCTCAAAAAGGTTATAATTTAACTTTAAAAAATTATAATTTTCGATCGTAACCATTCTTAAGTAAAAGACTTATTTTAACATAATAAGTCCTGTTTGAATTCATGGCGGCTGCTAAATTTGAGAAAATTGAAAACAATGTTGTATGGATATGAATCCCTATCTAATTATGTTGCCAAAAAAAAAGTGCAAAAATAAGAAAAACAAAGGTAAATCAAAGTCATTTTCATCACTCTTGCACATATCTAGCTCCTTGGCTCCAATACTTAAAATTTACGTATATATAAAATTATTATACATGTAAAATAAGATTAGAGAAAGAGAATAAGTCCAGATAGTGAAAAACAAAAAACAAAAAAATAAAAATAAACGCCACTTCAACAAACTGGTGGGAAACTCATAGTGCTATTGAAAGAATATATCTCTCTGAAATGAAAGAATTATTTAACTTTTATAAAGAAAAAAATTCATCCTTAAAGGATAATAAGATTAAGGTTAAACTTATATTAAATTTCTCATTAGAGTTCTTTGTACCTTGGGTTTCGATATGTGTTGGGATTTAACACGATTTAAATCCACTAACAAACACACACAATCGAAAAACAAATCAAGAATATAAAACAATAAGAAACAAGAAAGAACGAGACACAGATTTTACGTGGTTCGATAATTTGCTTACGTCCACGAAACTGCAGGGATTTCACTATTGAGAGAGTTGAATATAGAGAGCGGCTGTACAATCCACGATTAACCCTAATCACCAAAACAACAGGATTTATATGTCCTACGCACTGGGCTGTATAACGGGCCAAGCCTTCGCTCCATGGACTAAGCCTCAGAAAATTTTTCATTAAAAACCACACAACATTACTTCGGGTCGGGTCATCATCCAGATCACATATACNTCCTACGCACTGGGCTGTATAACGGGCCAAGCCTTCGCTCCATGGACTAAGTCTCATAAAATTTTCCATTAAAAAATCACACAATATTACTTCGGGTCGGGTCATCATCCGGATCACATATACAAACTAGACTCCATAAAAAAAAACCAACAATATGGACTCTAAGCAACCATGCATGCAATCCTACATATATAAGCCATCCCCACCACTGTTCCCAAGCCCCATTTCTATAGCATGAACAGAATGAATAAATCACATATTACATGGACATGTATCTCCATACAGTGTACTTAATGCTTTATTCAATATTAGTGTCAAATAACTATGTCACAAATTGGAGTTGCTAGCTTGCAATATATCATCAGCTATCTTGTGTACAATATGGAGGGACCCCATGTGGAAGGAAACAATGCTTCTACTCAATCCCCTTACCTGACTTCTGGAACAGCACAATTGCAAGGGTCACAAGGGATGCATAAACCGAATTGGGTAACTTTTGCACCACCTTCCCAACGCCTGGGACACCCTCTGTCGTCTTCTTTGTGAGTAGAGCAACTGTTGGTGCTACAGCCAAAGTAACAATCAATCCATGACTAACATGAATGAATGTATCGGTTGTTAACTGTTGAATAAACTTCACAAATTCTTCACGATCCAGTTCTCCATCAAGGTTGAGATCACAATCCTGCATAGAGATAACACATTGTACTATCTGTTATCTGAAAGTTGAGACCTATATAAATACAGCCCACTTGATGCTGAAGCTGAATTTTGCGCCATTAAGATTTTGCAGAGTTGATCCTTTCAATTGACACAGACAAGGTACGCCCCCTAGAACTTTCACAGCCCTCCTTTTTCACATATTATCACCAGGCCAGGTTTCATCTAATCTACCAGGAAACTTCTATTTTGGTACAGATAGTATGAAACCAAATGTCAGCAGCAATGGACCATTTCAAGGTTATTTTACCATCTTTTGCTAAAGATCCCTGCATTTTTAAACCTTCCCAGGTCATTCCAGGATCTAGAACCAAAAGCATAATGCCAAAGACTAACCACAAGGCCTGCCGAGAAACTTGAGGGCCACTCAGTATCCTGACATCCTAATGTCATTGCACGGAGCCAGCAAAAATACCAATATGGGGTGTCTTACAATTCACATTGATAGGAAGAAACTTTTCAATAGAAAGGGAAGCTTAAAGACTTCTCATCTTAAGAGAAATACAGGCACCACCAACAGATTGCAAAAGTAACACAGTACTTCAATCTCACCATGACTGAATCACGACAAAGTAGGAATGAGATATATTATTTCTGGTTGTTGACTTTTTCAGCTTTGCCAAAAAAGCCCCAAAACAACAGGTGATTTAAACAGCATTTCATGGTTTTCTCCAGTATAATAGAGCAAATTTCAGCCTGTTTCCAGGGAAATAAACTAGTATCCACAACTTTGCTTGTAAATGTATTAGCTCGGTTAAAAGTTCTCAATATCTCTTAAATCATAATATAGATCTGGTGGAATAATCATAACTTCATAAAATTTAGCTTCCTTTTTGCGTGCAGAAAAACTTTCAGTAATGGACTCGAAAAAAGGTCATATAGCTTCATACTAATGTAAATTTAATAAACCAAGTTGCATTAAAATGCTGTGAAACACTAAAAAAGGTTCACCTTGGAAAACACCATCATACTGAGCAAAACATGGCATACTTCAATTGTAGACACTCCAGTAATTATATCAAATCTACAACCATGATTAATAAAATTTTAATAAAAAAGGAATAGAAGAATAACACAGTAGTAAGACAGTTCACAAGAAGCAACATTTCTGCATGCATATTAAGCATTAAAAAGAGCAGTTTGCATGTCTAGTAAATTCCCATGTGACTGCAACCATCAGTTGCAGATCTGATAATGTCCCATTAACACCACTATGACCACTTTTACAATATCAGAAACAGAATAGCCCAATATATACCCATTATTCTTTCTACCACTAACTGGTGTCCTTGACAGAAAAAACTACCCAGAACATTATAGGCTTCAATAGTAATTTTACATAATCAGAACATACCGATATCATGGTTTTGACTTGCTCCTTGGAGGGTGGATCAAAATGAGGCCCAGGCAAACGCTTGTTGATATCGCTACATCAATAATATTAGTTAACTCTTAAGATTATGATGTCAACAAGACAAGAATGACATTACGGACGGACTCACAAGTTTTTTCAGAATTCAAATAAACCTAAGGCATAAATAGGTAAAAATTCTTACTTGTACACAAGTAGCACGGCAATGTATAGATCTTCAAATGTCAAATTAACTCTTTCTGTTTCATTCTTGAAACGATCAAAAACCTTGTCTGTTATCTTTCGAATTTGTCTTTGTTTCCATTCCTTGCCTGTTCAAGGTGATAACATTATCAAAGATGAATGAGGGAACTGTGTCTCAGCAACAACATGAAATATTCAGGTTTGTAGCATTAAAGAATGAGCCCATGACTGAAACGAGATTCACAAAGTAGTGACATAACTACCGGCTACAGCAGAATACACAAAAGTTTTAACTTCAAGGTGCAAAGCAAAGAAGCCCACAAATACCTATGGAACTATTCAATAGCTAGGTTCATTGGTCTGAATTAACCTTATAGGAAATTTGGTCCATTTGTCAGAATGAAATAACATAAAACAACCCAAATTAAATCAAAGAGATATAACAACATGAGAAACTTGACACGGTAACACTAACCTGCAAAGAAAAGAAACTAAGAAGTCCAATATATTTTCCATATCATCAATCACCCAAAACAAACACTAAATAGGATAACCTAAGAATAAATAGCTTCTCAACCCACAAATATGATGTACTGGAAAAGTCTTTCATCGTCTTTTGCATCCATCTCAAATGAGAATGGTCATCTCCTAGGAACCACATGATCGATATGATCAGTGGCTCAGCGCATCAACTCCATACTCCACAAATTTGCACTGATCTGGGGTTTCTTTATTCATTTTTCCTAGTTGATATATGGTGTTTCCACAAAAATGCAACAGTTTCTACTTTGACGACTTTTTTTTTTTTCAGCATATTCCAAAATCTACTCTGAATGAGTCGTTGCTTTTATTGCTTAGTTCATGTAAACAAAGAGTATGATTAAAGGCATTCATAGTACTTTATTGAATCAGCTGGTCAAGTCAGTGTACAATCGCCCAATTGGGTATTATGCTAGCTAAATGAACTATTTTGCTGTCTAAAAAAGGGACTTACTACATTAAATCTCCCTTTAATTTTCACCGTCATCAAGGCATACAAAAGAACAAACAAATGTTTAGTATCCAACTACGTGCAAGCATTGAACAGCTGATGACAGTTCCAAAGATAAATATATAACTCCAATGAATCTCCTAAATAAAAGAAAAAGGCACTTCAAATTCTTCAAAAGAACTATATAGATTTTAACTAGAGGTCGGACCTGAAGTGATGGCAAATGCTCATCCGCCCAATAAATATGTTGTAGGTTCATGTGTAGGATTTGACCTCTCCAAAAATGGGGATAATATCTTAACATTACCTCTCACAGACCCCATTGTAGGCAGAAGCCTTTTGCAATGTGCACGACTTTTTTCTGAACTATAAAGAATATAACCCACAAGGCATCAATCATATGAAGCAAAGGGCATATGGATTGATGGGGAGCACTAGAGGTCAGTTTGGCCAAAGAAATGGCATTGGAAAACAATGAAGGAAGAGTAGAAGGGACATCCTAGAAAATGGAACTTGCTTTGTTTGGTTGGTGAAGTAAAGAGAGAAGCAAGGAAAGGTGGATTGCATTTTATTATAACAACACCCTCATGCAAAAAAGGAAGCGTAACAAGATATTAAAAAGGTATAAAAGTGGTCCATTCCTTTCTCCCCTTTCCTTCCGCTGGCTCACAGGGAAGGTGCATCCCTCATCCGTTCTTCCCCTTTCCTCCTAGCAAACAAAGAAAATTTAATGCATCCCTCTCCTTTTGCTCTCCTTCCACATCCATAAAAGAATCAAGTTATTAGGATGGGAGAAAATCATTGATGTTCTTAGAAAATCCATAGTTCACAAGTGAAATGTTGGATGCATTTTACACGGATGGCTGATTATTTTGCAAAACTAAACACCAACAGCAAGACAGTTGCAATGTTCTTAGGTGTTTCAATAAACATGAAGGTGACAAAATTTTCTGCTAATTTCTGCCAATTATGGATGGCCAATTTAAGAAGATTTTCTGTGACTGGCCTGCAAGGTTCTTTTACTTGAAGCAAATTTCAAAAAACATGCATTTGGCTACAGCTGTTTAGGAACTACATGAAGGTGCACTTTGAATCTTATCATTTACGCGAATTTGATTTCAAAAAGGTGAAAAACTTTTCAAAACTAAGACAAATAAGCTCTAATAGGTTCATTCAAGTTGGGTAAAACTGGGTAAGGTTGAAGTTTATTCACCTGACTAATGTTACCCTTTTAAATATTTATTAATCCTTCTTGTAAGGGCACAAGGTCTGTAGCCAGGACCATCAAACCACAAAAGATGACCCAATATTATATAACACATTTAACAAAGAAACACAGCTACACAACTGATGAACCTTTAGAAAACACACACACATACACACACTTTCGAACCATCAGAGTCTTATGAAATAGAAAGAATGACCAAATTCAACAACACAATCAAATGAAAAAAAAAAAGAAGTGCTCTCAATCACAATATAAAAAAAATAAAATCTGATTATACTATTTTTTACACGGTTTTCGTTCACACAATCAAATGAGAAGTTTGACTTTATGTATATATGCCATAAAAATTTGTATTTTGGATTGAACTGTTAAACATATACTTGACTTTCATAGAGTGAACAATCTCGGTAAACCCATCATCATAACATCAGAAATCATGGTTTCAATACATTTCAGTGCCGATTATGTTCGAAAAAGTTGAGATAACCGGAAATACAAACTGGGTTTTACATGTTTAGAGAGAGAGAGAGAGATTGGGACTGAAGTGGAGATTTATAGTACCTTGGAATTTTTCTAGAACTTGTCCCATGGCTTTGAAGTACTGATTGATTCAACGATTTCGTAGCTCTGAGATGGAAATACAGTCGAACGCGTGCTTAGGAATCCACTTCAAGTGAGGCTCTCGAGGTGGTTGTCTATGGCCGAATTTTCTTATAAGTGATTCCAGCCGGTTAGGGTGCTCATTTGTTGTCAGTGTCGTGTCTTGTTATTTTTTTAATGAGAATTACACTGAGACTCTTTGAACCTTGTCTTCCTAACACTTTCTTTGTTAATTTATATTTAGATTCTCGAAAGTTTGTAAATGTGATACTTAAACTCTTTAAAATTTTAAAATATTATATTTACACAAAAAATATTTTAATAAAAAATAAAATATTAAATATTTTAAATTTTACAATCAAAATTTATGTTATATTATGACATTTATTCAAATAAGATTAAAATTAAAAATCTATTTTTTTTAAAAAAAAAATTATAATTATACTATCTATTATAATTTAATAAACAACCAAAATTAAACTATCAAATTATTCTAATTAAAGCTAAAATATATTGTGTTCATTAAAGTTTGATATCTTATTTGATGATTTAGTTTTATTCCAATAGACAGTATAATTGTATACTAATTATAATTTGTTAAGAAAAATTAAATTTTTATTTTTGATTTTATTTCAATAAATGACATTATAGAACATGAATTTTAGTTGTAAAATCCATGTTCTACTATGAATGACTTAGATCATTTGTTTTATTTTTTTAGTTTTATTATAATAGATAGTATAATTGTATATTAATTATAAATTTTTTTTTAAAAAAAATGACTTTTTATTTTTTATTTTATTTCAATAAATGATACAATGGAACATCAACTTTTGTTTTAAAATTTAAAATAATTGATATTTTATATTTGATTAGAATATTTTTGATCTAAGTATAATATTTTAAATTTAAGAGTTCTAAATATTATACGCCTACAAATTTTAGAGAGTCTCAATATAATTTACTAACGAATATGCTATCAGACTACTGGAATATAAGTGTTAGACAACCGGAGTATAAGTGTTGTACGTGTACGAGCTTTAGAGAGTTTATGTGTAATATTTCAAATATCAAGAGATCTGAGTGATTAAGTGACAAATTTTAGGAGTTTATGTGTAATTTTTCCTATTTTTTGTCAATATTATTTTTAGTTTATGTCTCATACCAATATTTATATTAAGAGTAAATTATATATAATCTTTAAATTATAATTTTTGTGTTAATTAAGTTTTTAAAATTTTTTTTGTGTTAATTGAGTATGACCTCTTTTTGTGTCATGAAGTCATGTGAATGACACATTTTAACAGANATTTTTTTTGTGTTAACTGAGTATGACCTCTTTTTGTGTCATGAAGTCATGTGAATGACACATTTTAACAGAGAAAGACATAATAGTTTAATTGATAAAATTAGAGAGTTTAATTAAAAAAAAAATTCAAGGATTTTATTGATATAAGGCCCATGAGAATAATTTACTTTAACTATTTGTGTCACGTGAATAACACAAGCTGTCAATCTAATGCAGGCAGACAGAATGACTTAATTGACACAATTAAAAAAATTTAGGGCTCGATTGACCAAAAAAAATTTTAGGAACTTAATTAATACAAGGATCATAGTTTGAGAGTCATATGTCTAATTTACTCTTATTACGCCAAAATAAAAAAAAAATTTATGAGGTATCAATCCTTTCTACTATCCCTGGGCTTTTTAATACTAATTTTTGGTCAAAATATCATAGTGATTAGTTTTATACACTTAAAATGCGTGTTTGATAACGTTTTTTTATTATTTTTTCTATGATAAAAATTACAAACATAAAATATGTTTTATAATTATTTATATTTAAAAAATTATGAAAATAAAAATAAAAGCATGTTTGATATTATAATAAAAAATAAGTTGCTCCGTAAAAGACAATTGAGAATGCATAACCCAACCACTATCTCACACCCCTGCAAAACACACAACCCAACCACCGAAAGCTCACCACTAATGCTCTTGAAAACCCATCATCCAACCATCGAAAAAAAAAATCAAATTGAGGTGCAAGAGAGAGAAAGAGAGGGGTAAGAGATAGAGTCGAAAAAGACAAAGGTGAGAGATAAAAAAAAGGGGCCGAGAGAGTGGAAGAGACGGGAAAGAGGGGAGCGAAAAGGAAGGAGTTTTTATATTCAAATAAGAAAACTCAATTTTTTTTTTTGTTTAGGAGGATCGAAATCAAAATATCATTAATTCAAATTATGATGCTTGTCTATTTTTTTTCGGGCATTATGAAAACACTTTTTTTGTATTTTAATTTTTTGGCCTTGATTTTAAAACAAAGTTGCTAAAAAAAAATAATAAAACATCACAAATACATTTTTATTTTATTTTTGACAAAAAAAAAAAGAAAACAGAAACATGTTACCAAATACAACCTTAATCTCTAAAAACATTGCATCAGTGAACCAGTCATTGTAAGTTTTTATATGGAAACAACCCACCGTCATAGTTAGAAGGAATAGTGCACGTATGTTCTCGATCGTGTTCCAAGTCAATCTTAATCCAGTTTGTTCCTGTCTTATGGCTATATATAATATGAATATATATATTTCTTGGATCTGCTGCACATTGAATTTAGAGATCAACTGCACAAATCAGCTTTTTGATTGTGTCATTTTGCTAAAAAATTTACCAGTCAAAGCAACCCCACAAACTGTTTGGTAAAATTCCTGAGTGACATTGCTTATGTGAAATAACTGAACACTTCCCAGTTGGGTTCTTGTATCCTGGCCTCATAGATATGATAAATCTTGGGTATGCTTTATTTTGTGATCCAATCTTTAGTTTTATAATTGCTATTACTAAGCAATTTAACCCATGAAGAGCATAGGCATTATTTGGTTGGCATTTCGGTGGTAATTTTATCACTGTTGGAATCACAATGTGCTTGGTTCTCTGCTCAGGAAGGCAAGCAGGCCACTTTCCAATTGCTTCCGAAACAGTACCATGGCTTAGTTCTGACATAAGCCAATTGAGCTTAAAACTGTCATTTTTCATTGTGGCCATGTGTTTCTAGTGTTTGCGTAAGTCCTAATTGAGATTTTCTCTTTTGTATTTGTGTGCAATGAGTTTAGATTCTAATGCTAGCTTTATTAAACAATGTATTTTAGACGGAAACATATACTCTTTGTGATTGAATTGAAGAAGTGGTGGGAAATGGGTAAAGGCTTGATATGGGCAACAGCGGAGGATTTGGCAAGAAACAGAGGACAGGTTCTGTCTCTTTATCGACAAATTTTGCGTAGCCTCAACTCACCTGGTTTGCCATTGAATTTAGCGGCAAGGCTGGCTAAGAAAGCGGAAGTTCGTGCCATTTTTATGCTGGGTGCTGAGGAGCATTCTCTCCGCAACATTGAAGATCTTGTTGATGCTGCTGAGTACTCTCTTTGCCTCTTAAGAAATGGCGAAATCCCAAAATACATACAATAAATTACTGATGAATCTCAGTTTCTTTTTTCTTGTGCTAGTTTAAGTTGTGATTGCATATATCTCCATGAAAGAGGTTGTGAACTAGCTTCTCAAATGCATAATGCTACATCTGGCTATGTAATTACACGAACATTTTCACATTCTTAATACTGAAACTCGAGTCTGATGCTCGTTCCATATGATTTTATTGTAATCTTAGCAGTCACACTCTGCCTCATAAAAACTGAAATCACTATGTTCCTCAATACTTCCAAAACCTTCCCACACATTTGAGTTTTTGTTTCCCAGGTCCCATGTACACATGATTTTCTTGTTAAACAAAGACAATAAGAAAATAGGGAAACACACATAAAGCTTGCCTCCTAGAAAGGGTCAAGTTTGATGCCTATGAAATTGACATTTTTGAATTTATAAATACTTCTCCAAAAGCCACAACAATCCAAGAAACGTGTTAATTTGCAATCCACAGTACCTTTTTTTTTTGCTAGTACAATCCACAGTACCTTGGAAACTAGTTATCCAATCTTTTCAGGAACTGTATTAGAATAGATTAATTTGCACGTATTGTTAATATCATGATCTGTTTTGCACAAACCATACTTATGTATCTGTCTGAGACCACACGGGTCTCTCTCTCTCTCTCTCTCTCACACACACACACACACACACACACAAAGACTATAGATACAATTTTCGTNCCCCTGCAAAACACACAACCCAACCACCGAAAGCTCACCACTAATGCTCTTGAAAACCCATCATCCAACCATCGAAAAAAAAAATCAAATTGAGGTGCAAGAGAGAGAAAGAGAGGGGTAAGAGATAGAGTCGAAAAAGACAAAGGTGAGAGATAAAAAAAAGGGGCCGAGAGAGTGGAAGAGACGGGAAAGAGGGGAGCGAAAAGGAAGGAGTTTTTATATTCAAATAAGAAAACTCAATTTTTTTTTTTGTTTAGGAGGATCGAAATCAAAATATCATTAATTCAAATTATGATGCTTGTCTATTTTTTTTCGGGCATTATGAAAACACTTTTTTTGTATTTTAATTTTTTGGCCTTGATTTTAAAACAAAGTTGCTAAAAAAAAATAATAAAACATCACAAATACATTTTTATTTTATTTTTGACAAAAAAAAAAAGAAAACAGAAACATGTTACCAAATACAACCTTAATCTCTAAAAACATTGCATCAGTGAACCAGTCATTGTAAGTTTTTATATGGAAACAACCCACCGTCATAGTTAGAAGGAATAGTGCACGTATGTTCTCGATCGTGTTCCAAGTCAATCTTAATCCAGTTTGTTCCTGTCTTATGGCTATATATAATATGAATATATATATTTCTTGGATCTGCTGCACATTGAATTTAGAGATCAACTGCACAAATCAGCTTTTTGATTGTGTCATTTTGCTAAAAAATTTACCAGTCAAAGCAACCCCACAAACTGTTTGGTAAAATTCCTGAGTGACATTGCTTATGTGAAATAACTGAACACTTCCCAGTTGGGATCTTGTATCCTGGCCTCGTAGATATGATAAATCTTGGGTATGCTTTATTTTGTGATCCAATCTTTAGTTTTATAATTGCTATTACTAAGCAATTTAACCCATGAAGAGCATAGGCATTATTTGGTTGGCATTTCGGTGGTAATTTTATCACTGTTGGAATCACAATGTGCTTGGTTCTCTGCTCAGGAAGGCAAGCAGGCCACTTTCCAATTGCTTCCGAAACAGTACCATGGCTTAGTTCTGACATAAGCCAATTGAGCTTAAAACTGTCATTTTTCATTGTGGCCATGTGTTTCTAGTGTTTGCGTAAGTCCTAATTGAGATTTTCTCTTTTGTATTTGTGTGCAATGAGTTTAGATTCTAATGCTAGCTTTATTAAACAATGTATTTTAGACGGAAACATATACTCTTTCTGATTGAATTGAAGAAGTGGTGGGAAATGGGTAAAGGCTTGATATGGGCAACAGCGGAGGATTTGGCAAGAAACAGAGGACAGGTTCTGTCTCTTTATCGACAAATTTTGCGTAGCCTCAACTCACCTGGTTTGCCATTGAATTTAGCGGCAAGGCTGGCTAAGAAAGCGGAAGTTCGTGCCATTTTTATGCTGGGTGCTGAGGAGCATTCTCTCCGCAACATTGAAGATCTTGTTGATGCTGCTGAGTACTCTCTTTGCCTCTTAAGAAATGGCGAAATCCCAAAATACATACAATAAATTACTGATGAATCTCAGTTTCTTTTTTCTTGTGCTAGTTTAAGTTGTGATTGCATATATCTCCATGAAAGAGGTTGTGAACTAGCTTCTCAAATGCATAATGCTACATCTGGCTATGTAATTACACGAACATTTTCACATTCTTAATACTGAAACTCGAGTCTGATGCTCGTTCCATATGATTTTATTGTAATCTTAGCAGTCACACTCTGCCTCATAAAAANGATGTAATTACACGAACATTTTCACATTCTTAATACTGAAACTCGAGTATGATGCTCGTTCCATAAGATTTTATTGTAATCTTAGCAGTCACACTCTGCCTCAGAAAAACTGAAATCACTATGTTCCTCAATACTTCCAAAACCTTCCCACACATTTGAGTTTTTGTTTCCCAGGTCCCATGTACACATGATTTTCTTGTTAAACAAAGACAATAAGAAAATAGGGAAACACACATAAAGCTTGCCTCCTAGAAAGGGTCAAGTTTGATGCCTATGAAATTGACATTTTTGAATTTATAAATACTTCTCCAAAAGCCACAACAATCCAAGAAACGTGTTAATTTGCAATCCACAGTACCTTTTTTTTTTGCTAGTACAATCCACAGTACCTTGGAAACTAGTTATCCAATCTTTTCAGGAACTGTATTAGAATAGATTAATTTGCACGTATTGTTAATATCATGATCTGTTTTGCACAAACCATACTTATGTATCTGTCTGAGACCACACGGGTCTCTCTCTCTCTCTCTCTCTCACACACACACACACACACACACACAAAGACTATAGATACAATTTTCGTGCCTTTTGTCAAACCCAACGTATGAAGTTTCTTGCTAATTGCTACAACTAAATGCGAAGGATGGATAATCTGTTTGTCCAAACTAATTATAAGGCCATGAAAGTCGGGGGGAAAACCGGACCACAAAGGTCTCAGGGGCCAGGGCATCTTGGAATTGTGGCAAGGCCACACATGCATTGTTATTATTATATTTCCCAGCCTTTACTAGTTTTGGTACTCCTCAATAACTGTCTCTGTTGCCTCTATGTATAAGTAGTAACAGGTTTGATCCCAGCATGTAAAGTGCAAAAATTTACCAGTTATCTGAGATATCTAGACAAACATAGATTTGGGACAAACTGCATAATCAAATTTCAGAAAATTTGTACCGAAGAGTTCGATTGTAGTTTGGAAATTCCTGCCAAATATATAGTATAATTCATGAGTTCAGAAAAATCAGCTAACTTAGCAGCTTTTCTTCTCTTATAGCTGAAAATCTCTCCTCAGGATCATCTGATAGACCTACCAATCACTCTAGTTAGCTTCCTATGATACACCACTTATAAGATTACAATGGTAGTTTCCTGTAAATAAGGAAATGAACTGATTGTTGCAGTATCTCTTGCTTACCTCCACCAGGTATGACACATATTTCTGTGTGCGTAATTAGCACTACGTTAAGAATAACCACAATATTAGCCTGTAAGTTTCCTCTACCAGCCCGATTAAGAAAGACAGCATAATCGACAGACAATATATACAAAGGAAGCTCAATATATATATACATAAAATGATCNCATGTATATGTATAAAATGATCTAAAGAAGCTCAAAGTATGCCAGTAGCAGCTTTAGAAATAAACATATCCATTCATGGTCATATACATTACTGGCAGCAGGCCTGCAAGTACTCTTGTATGCTCAAATATAGAAAAGAATAATGTTGACTGATGGGGATCGTGTAGGAATTGGATAGATATTATNTATCCATTCATGGTCATATACATTACTGGCAGCAGGCCTGCAAGTACTCTTGTATGCTCAAATATAGAAAAGAATAATGTTGACTGATGGGGATCGTGTAGGAATTGGATAGATATTATAGAGTAATTATGACAGTTATTTAAATACTTTTAATATTTATCTTTTAAGTAATTTCTTTTAAATTTTGAGGGTTTATTTGTCATTATTTATTAGTTTTAGGGTTTTCGTTTCCATATATAAAAGGATGCATGTAAGAGTTTTATTTAGATTAGACTTTGATTATTATTGATTACTGATATTGAATCTTGATATAGCTTTTTCCTCAAATTCTCTCTCTGTCCTCATCCTTTTCTTCTTCTTTTCTCATCCCCTTCTTCTTCCCTTCTCATCCCTAATACGATCTGCATCATTGACCATTTGACTTAACAATTGTCTCCTGAAATCTACATAAAAATGTAAATACAGAACAACAATACTCAAATTAACACCTACTAGTGCCTTAATTTATATAAGCATCGCGTCGTGATAGTTCACATTACAAGTAGAATTTTGAAATTCAGACTTCGAAACAAAAATATAGTTGCTATTATCCATGATTGTCCTTTGATCTTCAATTTTACGGTGTATATACTAGTATTCAGTAAGCTATTAACCATTCAAGATGAAAAACGTATAATTAATTCATAGCAAACTCCTGTCTAATAGCTATTAGTTGGTGGAATAGCTGCATACTGCCTATCCATAACCTCAATGAGTTTGCTGGCAATTGCACTGGCATACACAGAAGAACCTTCAAAAATCTGCAATATGGGCAAATCATCACATAATTATGAACTGTCAAAGGTTTTCCGGAAGGTAAAACAATTTAATTAGTCCAAAAAGCTATGAACTGTCGAAGTTTTTTTCGGAAGGTAAATGATTTTGTTTAGCCCCAAAAAAAAAAAATAAAGTAAACTCAAAAACACCCAAAGTCACAGAGCTTGTATGCTCACAAAGGTACAATCTCAATTCAAAAAACCTAATCTACAGAAGAAGTATCTACCACAACTCCAGACTAGCCTAACAGTAATGCATTCGTTTTTCAAAATTTACCATGCATGAAGTATATAATTTCAAAGATATCTAATAGATCAAGAGAAAACCTTGGTGTTGAACAGAAAACTGTAGCAATCACCGATGAGCCCACCGGCAACATGGTGGAGATCCAACTGAAGCTCATCGAGGGCCCTTGACACAAATAGCAGACAATTGATCCTCTTCTGCTGAATGAGCTTGATGGTCACATCATCATCGATGATGCGAACATCAACCTCGGTATTTTTGGACTTCCTCTGAAGCCGTGAGCTTCTTAATGGTGACCCATTATAGGTCTGGTCTTGATCACCAAGAGGCTTCATGTTAGAACTCTCTACGTCCCCTGCATCACCTTCTGTCTTTTGCCTTTTGATCCTTTCTCTGGCACATCTCTTCTTCTCCACCAGAATCTTAAGCGTATCAACTGTTCTTAGAAGCTCTTTGATGTATGCAATGGCGTCTCCCACAATTGATGCTCTATCATTCTTGGTCATGCTCCCCCAAACCAAAAAAAAAAAGAAATGTCAACCAAGGGATTCATGTTGAGGCCTTTTTTTTTGAACAAAGAAAGAACACTTAAAAGTGGAAGCGACAGAGGGCCTTATACACACACACACAACCCCAAGGCTATCCGATGTTGAGGCCTTTTAGTTAATCAAATTGCAGAAGTTAATGAGATATATGGAATGTAGATACCAAAGTAGAAAGTAGAAATTTTTAACAACGAAAAAAGAGGACATTATCAAGCAGTGCACTACTGTTTCATCAAATTAAAGGCACAAACACACAGAGAATGTGAATACCTTGGTGGGGTTGGGAACCAAATCCCTCAGAGCCTTGTACTTGTCATTTAAGTCCACCCTTCTTTTTTTCTCAATATTATCCTTGCCATCCCTCCCTCTTATGTCCCCAGAAAACTCCAAACTTCCACTGTCAAAAGGCCTCCCATCCCCATCTTGGTACCCACCTCCACTTGCCTCTCTCTCATCCACCCCATTAAACAAAGAACCGATTCCTGAGCCTGTCAAGCTGTAACCATGGGGCAAAGACTGAATCAACTCCCTAAACATTGGAGGCTGTGGTGGAAGGTTCAAAGGTAGCAATGGGTTATAGAAAGCATTCGAGGCCGGCACGCTCCCTGCTGCATTAAGGTCCCCTAGAAAGCTTAATGATCTCGGAAAATTTGTGGAGCCCGTGGAGACTGATGCATTGTGTAGCAAAAAGGAAGATGAGCATCCAGGCAAGTGAAACAGATTGTGGTGGTCTGGTGTTAGAGGGTATGGGGTGTCTAGAAATGAAGAAGTGTTTAAGCCTTGGTAATGGCCATTTGGAGTTTCAACTTGTTGAAAATGATGCTCTTGCTGGTGAGAATAGTGACTGAAACTCATCTCGCAATTGGACTGATCACATGATACTGCTTCTTGCATAAATTGGGTGTCACTATGATTGTTGTGGGTATTGTAGTAGTGTTTCATCTCCATACTTGGTGGTTGTTGGAGCTTTATCTCCATGGCTGCAGCAACTCGTCCCGCAGTGGCGCCGCCTTCTTCGGGAGGATTTTGGTGGTGGTAAGATGGTTCTTCCATGGAGAAAGTAGGAGTGAATTTTGGCACATGGGTTTGTGAGAAACCATCCTCGGCTAGTCCTTGCACATTATTAGGATCAAAGCAAGCACTGTTCTCATACATTTTCAGGATTACTTGGAGACTGATGTCTGCTTGTCTCCTATATTTTTGCGTCTTTGTCTGCACCAAAGAATAAGTTACACAAATTGTTTTCTTGGGTCTTTGTCTGCACCAGATAATAAGTTATAAAAGTGGAAAAACGTAAGTAAAAAAAACGNTTTGTCTGCACCAAAGAATAAGTTACACAAATTGTTTTCTTGGGTCTTTGTCTGCACCAGATAATAAGTTATAAAAGTGGAAAAACGTAAGTAAAAAAAACGAATTTCATGTGTATGCTAATAATTGGAAAAGAAGGACAAACCCAATCCTCCAGAGAAAACTATCAGCTGGTCTCTCTCTTAAAGATTGAAACTGTTGAAACANCGAATTTCATGTGTATGCTAATAATTGGAAAAGAAGGACAAACCCAATCCTCCAGATAAAACTATCAGCTGGTCTCTCACTTAAAGATTGAAACTGTTGAAATAATACATATTCTTCAAGCAACAAAACTTTTCTTGTTTATAGAAGCCCACAAGGCATCACCAGCTGGGCAACAACTAAGTAGTCATGTGGACACCTACTAAATCAAGAATTTGAAGATTTGTGGAACTGGTAAGAGAGAGAGAGAGAGAGAGAGAGAGAGAGAGAGAGAGAGGGAGAGTTAGCAAAAACAGGTAGGTGGGGTTAGGTTGGCATAAGGGGAACTAAAACTGAAGATATTTGATACTGCAAATATGATTTACTTTTTTGCCACAGCAGGGAAGTTTGTTACTGAGATTCCCAGACACTGGGCCCACTAATGATCTCCTAATTCTGATGGTTATTGCTTTTGGGACTCTACACTGACCCATTATTCTATGTTCTCAGTTCTTTCTCCTCAAAAATGCCCTCTTTCTGAAATAGTCCACATTTTCCTGCAATGATAACTAACGGTTAAGTCTATAGGACCCACAAAAAAATGTGAATCCCCTACCAAAAAATAGATCATAACAGTAGATCTGGTGTTAATTTATTCGTGACCATTGATTCTGAGAATGGTACGTTACCTAAAAATAATTTTTAATTTTTCAGTATACCCGACGGGCATATCTTCAGTATGGTTTTGGGCTGAACCATCTGTGCAACATGGATGTCCATTATACGGTAGCAATTCATCATTCGGTGAGTGGGACACTGTTATTACCTTCTAGGGGTGGTTACAGTCTATCATCAGGCAGGTATAGCGGCAGAGAATTTTCTTTAAGAAAAGAAGAAGAAGAAAAAAATCCAAAACATTCTGAAAAGTGCAGATAAATATGTACTGAGGTGTGACCAGGTCTTTTTACCTTTCGATATTGTCTTGAATAATATCCCTTCCATGAACTCCTATAGTTGAATTAAACTCTTATTTTTGGTTGAATTTTGGAGCAAGACACAAAACAATACTCTCTCTCTCTCTCATAGTGGGGCAATATGGGTGTGGGTAGATGGCCAATGAATCTCTTGAGTTATGACTTGCCAGAGGTCATCAGTTGTAGAACAAAGAAACCAATGTGCTGAAGTGTACAATTAATTGGACATTTTATGGTAATTACTATATGGGATGACCTTTCAATATAGTCCGGATCTTCTGCTGTACAATAGGGGTGCTGTTCCTCAAAACAACCACGTTTTATACACAAAACGACATCGTTTCATATGTAAAACGATATCGTTTTGAGAAATATCACTCTTACTGTATTTTCATAATTGTTACATACACAATATCAACTCATTTTCTTGTAGCACCAAAACCAATCATTCACAAAGAAAGAATATATAATGTGAGTCTAGCAACTAAATTTTGCTCAAAGCAAGCATGGATATTGAGGGGTGAACATAAATAAGTATAGCCACCAAAGAAGAAGTAACTATAAATTCATGTAGCTCTATCAATAAATTGGATTTTAGTTGAAATCTGACCATATTAGTCAAGTATAACAGGGGTTTTTGATCCTATAGTCCAAATTTGATCTGTACCCCCTGTTTATTTATGTAATAAACCAGTTAGGTGTTTGAACTTATGGGGGGTATATTTTTCTCCCCAAATTTGACACATCCAACACACACTCCC